CATGTTCACAAGATACCGATAATCTAAGGTCAGATAGCCTACAAAGGAAAAGTTTTGAGAAAGTGGAAGGTGGGCACATACAGTATGTGATATCTTGATCTTTTCTTTCACAGGTTAGATGTTTACCAAGAAATAGAATATCTTCACACCACTGTCTAAATTCATATTCTATCAATCTCGACTATTAATTGCCAAGAGCTAATTCCGGGCTGTGGTCATAAAATCTTCACCAGACATCTCTCCTTTCTATGTATAACTTTGGGAATAAAAGAAGAGTAACAAATAACCTGCTTAGACCAACTGGTCTTTATTCTAAGAATCAAAGCCTGTTTTAATAATAAAGTTTTATTCAATAACTAATAATATAATGTATAATTATATTGTAAAACTCTAGATAACAAGTTATATAGATAGTAAATAAATATAAATATAGTGATTATTGTCAGACAAAAGACATTTGTGCACATCAGAGACATAAACATTCAGGGGAAGTCCAAGCCACCAGAGCCTGTGGATAGCGTAGAGTTTGTTAGACTCGCCTAAAATATTGTTGGCCGCTGTTTTTGCATTGATATTATCATGATTAGATTTTTAAAAGCTAATTTGAAAAGATAAAGTTATGAATTTTTCTGTTCTCACGTCCTTAGATTGTAAAGTTATATTTTAATAATTATCATATTTATCATCACATACACAAAATAGACAGCTCTTCTGTTTGTTTATGTCCAGATATGCATAAATATCTTGGTTTGACTATAGTATTGCATTATCTATGAAATTTTATTGAGCATAGCCCTTAGCATACCTGTATCACATACTGATTAGATGAACCCATAAGAATATAATATCATATCCCTTGGATAACATTGGTTTAAGCCCAACACTCACAACAAACTTGTCCACAAAAAACACTCCTTTTTATTTCAAGAAACATTTGTTTGAAAATCAAACTTGGTTGAATTGTTGCTAGTCCGTTGTGTGATTTTAATAAAAATGTTTTGCGTCTTCAACCAATCAACATATATCTCATTATGGCTTAAGTAGGGAGTGGAACGGTAGTAATGTGTTTTGATTCCTTCCATATTGAAAAAATCACATTTTAATATCACAACCCAAAAAGAAGGGTCCACTGCTAGAATAATATTCTGTATATAAAATTATATAAGAACTTCCAATGTTATTTTTGTCTGGAACATCAGAATTGTTTACCAAAAGACTGTTCAAATGGATCATTTTGTAAACCTGATAGGAAATCACTAGAAATAAAAAAAAAAACAAGGAATATTACGGAAGAAAAATCATTTACTCCAATAGATAGCAAATGGAAACAGCAAAAAAGCATAGTTGCACACAATCCTGTCTCCTAATGTTCGATAAAATATGAATTTTCGAAGTCAATTTTGGTTTCTCCATTAATGCAAGTGGAGGGAGTTATCTATGTTAAATGAACTAAATCAAATATTTTTTAAAATTGGTTCATTAAAACTCTTTATAACAAATATGAAATAAATTTCAAAATATATAATGTAATTGGCCCACACTTCCTAAACAAGACTATGGTATAGATAGATAGATAGATATTTATTGTATTGTTGGCCCTTTTCCGGCAGCGCACATCATGATACAAGATAATACAAAATAATAAATATTTATTCTTACCCCAGTGGATTATCATCTGATTTATTTTCTAACATCATATTAGGTGAATATCTCTTTACAGATTCTGAAATAAGTGTGCAAAACTTTTAAAATGCTTGGCCTATCAAAAGCTGAACTGGGTATAAATAGTCAGTATGACTATTATGAAAGAGAAAAGCTTTTGCCTAAGGGTATTCTTCTGCCCGACTTTATCTTTCTCTGGCTTTCTAACACTGAAAAACTGTCATTTTCCTATACTAAATGTCTTCTTTATCTTACAAATTTGGGTTTTTTATGTACCAATATATTTGTAGATGACACATTTAAATGTTACCAATGTAGTAGTTGGATTTGATAAAAACAAATCACATTACAAAGTCATCTTACCGTTGAAAATAGATTTAATCTTTCTTTCCCCTTGTTGTTGAGGTTCTTTATGACTTTTACCATCTTGTGACAATAAAGTAGATAATTTTACAGGTTTCTTATCTTTACGAATGTTTTGTGTAGATAGGAAATCACTGTAGGAATCAATCTTATTTTCACGACTTGATTGTGTAGATAGTCTATCACCTGGTGAATCAAATGGACTTATTTTCATTCCAGATAACAGTTCACTTACGCCAGGCTGAAATAAAAGGCGTGTTAACTTTAACTATAACACAAAAATTCAAGAAGTCTTATCAAATTGATGAATTCCAACGCTGAAATCCATAGTCTCTAATTGTGACCTAGACCAGTGCTTCCATAACAGAGTAAAACCTTGTACCAAAATTCAACCAATCAAATTTATCGTATATAGTGTTCAGTTTTGACACTAAAAACAGGCATGCCAAATGTAATCAAGGTACAAAATCTAGAACTGTATTCTTGTATTAGAAAGATATTTAACAAAATCACTAAATTAATAAAGACCAACCTCTCTAACTGGTTTATGAGATTTTTGTACAAGAGTATTAAAGTCTGTTTCCTGCATATATTGTACTGCTGCTTTGAATGTAACCAAACAGTAACTGAAATAAACAATAGATATGTTAAATCAGCTGAAAGTGAAAACAAACTGATTAGAGCTCAAGTTATTTTGTTTCATTTATTTTCTGTTGGTTACTCACTCATAACCTCATCAAGGAGTGGTCCAAATTAACAGGGCTTAGTTCTTCTGTCTTAACATAGATTGATTTTCCACATTGTGATCTGACTAAGCTCAGTTTCCCATATTTGTATCCTTTTTTCTTTCTTGCCATCACTTGGGAAGTGATATGCTTAAATATTTTAATCAACCTATCATTGTACTGAGAAATGAGAATAGAAACTTAAAGGAGACAAACCTGACATCATCCATGTCTTTAAATGTTGAATTCCAGAGAAAATATTCCATATAATATAAATCACTTTCTAGAGTTGTACATTTAGCTCCAGCTATTACTGTCACCTAGATAGAGTAAGTCATACAAATTGTATTTATATTAAGACACTAAATGACTTCTATTTTATGAGCAAACCTGGTAGGATATCAGTACACACTGTCGAATTTATAATAAAAATGCCAAAAAAGATCACATCAATTATCTATGTCATTTATTAAAATAGATTGACAACTTATCTGAAACACATTATGTGCATAGGTTTAAGAGGGTTCACATAGCAAAAGACATTCATGTAGAATATTAAGTACAATTAACTTACCAATAATGGAATAAGATCATCTGAAGTAAGGCATGGTGTATCTAAAATATAGAAATTATAATATCTGCTTTGATGGCATTAGAGAAATTACAATTGAAAGCTATTAACAGGCAATCGATCTCAATGCTGTTAACAACGTCACATTCGATTTTGGCTAAGGTAAAGACCACTTAACACAGTGGTCATTGTAACTGTGCCAATATTGAACTCTTCCAAGATATTATTAATGTGAATGCACTAGTGTCCAAATAACACAAACACAAATGTTGACAAATGGATATTTCCAATGTCTTCATATAAACAAATAGAAACCTCACCTGATTTACTGGTTAAGGGAAAGACATCAATTTTTTGTTTCGTTGAATTAACATGAGCTTCTATTTCCATGGTAATGCTATCCTTTAAGAAACAACATAGAATAGTCATTTTACTGCTGTTTTACTTGTTTCAGATAGTCTAGTGAGCATTTCAAGGCAAACTGACATAAAACCCTAAAGGAAAACAAAAATCAAAATTCAGAGATATTACAAATTTACTTACAATAACTGCTTTCAATGTATTTAATTTTTCTTTCGGTGTATGAAAATCTTTCAATCTGGATAACTCAAATATCTGAAATAAAATCAACATACAGAATAAAATATGCCCAATTGCAGCTGTAGGAAATAATATTTCATTGATATTGAAACTACAGAGCACAGTGGGAGAAAAATTGCAGTTATTATGCTACTTATATCTTCCCTGTTGACGGTCACTTGGTTCTTCTGGAACTTAAACTAAAAACAACAGCCAAGTTGAAGTGAGCACGTGATACAAACCTGTAATTCTATAGGTTGACCTTTAATCTAGCTCACGACAAATTATCAGGAAAAACTGCATACTAGCCAACAAGGCACTTCAAGACCTCTTTTAAAGATGCCAGATATCTCCTGATCACTCCTTATTTTGTCATAGACCGATTCTTTAGTAAGTGTGTGCTGACCTCTAGGGGCAATAACTAAATAGAAACTTACCGCTGTAGGAAGAGGACAAGAGAATTGTTTGGGTATATCAAGTTGAGCTGGAGTTATATTATCTAAATGAAAACATTTGTTATACAGATCTCTATCTTCTTGTGAAAACTTCTCACAAATTGCACTAAATACTTTATTATACACCATTCCTAAAAAATAACTGATATAGAGAACATAGAATTAGTTATACTGGTATCATTTCAATAGTATTTTATAATATTTCAATAACAAGATATAATGCTAACAATATTCCTTGTGATTATGAGACAGGATAGTTTACAATTGAGATGCCATAAATGGAATGCACTGTATGCCTCAGGAGGTATCATACCTTATCAAATTCCATCTTTCTTACAGAGTTAACATAGCTAAAACTGTTATTGTAATATATTTTATTATAATATTACTCTCACCTTTCTACAGCTCCATACAATACATCTTTAAATCTAGGGTCAGAGTGAATCTTCTTCTTTGAACAACTTATACATTTCTACAATAGAAGATAACTAGCTTAAATACAAAAAGCAAGTTGGGAATGAATTGATTTAGAAAGGATAACTCAGTCAGCTGTGTTTTTTATTGTCACCTGCTAGGCTAAAGCTTTTGTTAAGAAAAAGCCCTCGTTCCACACCTCTTTAAAATATAAACTAGCATAATATAAAAAATCCATCTCCTGGGTTATAGAGTATGTATTTATCTCGCTGAGCCAATCTCAGTCCCAACATCCAGACAGTACCAAGTATATACAGAAGGTCCCTCACCTCTGACAAATTAGCCACTATAAATTGAATTCTATCAGCAACATCTTCTAGATAGTCTTTTAATACCATATAATGTTGATTAAAATCACTGATAGCTTTATCTATTTCTTGCAAGACCTGAAATTTACATAACATATTTGATACTTAGTCCCCTATAACTTATTTCTACCGTGTTACACTATCTCATAAAGGGGCAGGTTTTAAAAGTTGACTAACAATAGTGGTAAATTGACTTCATTTGTTGATCATCACCAACAGACAATGTAAAAATCTTTAAGAATTTTGTTTACTTACTTTTGAAAATTCTGTAATGGACTGAAGGAAGCACTTTGATCTGAAAAAAAAAAAATTAAATTCAGAAAGAGTTAAACACTCAGACAACACAATTAAAACAACAACACCATGTTGTGTGGAATAATGGACAGGTTTTCACTCCATTTTTTCAATGATAAATGGTTGATAACTTACTCTGTGAAGGTAGATTTGGGGATTAAAAGATCGTTGATTGGACTTTCTTTGGTGGAAGACAAGGCTGCTCCCTGAAAATACATTGAAAGATTCCTATGATTTACAAAGCTGAGCATTGTTTCAAACATGAGTTGATGGAAAGCCATGGTGGCAAGCTGAGTTTGCTGCTTTCTTTAAATGCAAGAAAAGAATTTAGTTTGTTTTTGAATAGCTCAAAGAGATCAATCCATGTTTCTGAGTAGAATGATACAGTTAGTTTTTAAGATACAGAAAATTTACCCACCGTTGATCTTATCTCAAATGGTTCTTCAACTATAAGTATTTTATATGGTTGATAGTTCTAAAATAAATGAAAGATTATTGAAAAAATTGAATTACAGAAATTTTGAAATGAAACAACAGCTTTCCTTGGTTGTAAAGAGTCAGAATAGATTTTGCTCAAATTATAAGCCAGTGGAAAGTAGACTCTCCCGAGGAGATATTGAGTTGACAATCCAAGTCAAAGACTTAACAATATTCAAATATGTATACCTTATTATAAGCTAATTCTTCACTCAATATCCTTATTGTTTTCTTGTCTTTATACCCTGTAAATAATAATAATATACTAATGTATGTTTTTAACCTGGCCAATCATAACGTTTCCACATGGTTTGTTTTGTAAATATTGATAAAGTGACGTGATTTAAATGGTTGGTTAACTTGACTATCTCATGTGAAGCTATTTAGATTAAGTGCACCATGTCTATCTATTTATTGATAAGAGGTAGAGGTTTAAATGACAATGAATAGCAATATACCTTGTAATAGATGAATAATCTGTCCATTATCTTCTATAGAAACTGTTTGATTATCCGGATTGTATTGACTTATATACTGTCTAAAATACATACAATATTCAGGGCTTGGTATTAATAAGGGATACATACAGTCTTCTAAATAATAACTTTACTAGCTGATTAAAATCAATTTCAGCTAACCCATGTACTACTCATTAAAATCAACGTCTGGACTATTGTCAACTTCAGGAGGTAATTAACATATTGAGGGAAGCTATGCCTGTAGATCTGATGGTTTTGATTTTATCTACATGCATAAGTTTCAATATGTCCTGAAAATAACAATAATCTAAATTTCCAGAACATGTTTTAATTTAATGCTCAAGAACAAGATTTTTCTCTTGGATTTTAATGCTGACAATAGCCATATGTAGCTGAAAATGAGTTCTATCATCTGATAAAGCTTTAAAGAAATTGAATATCCAACTGTCCCATTTAAAATGACATGATGTTTTATGCATTCGGAATTTTATGAAACTTTTATGATAATTCCTACAGATTCTCAAGAAATTGCTACTCTCTGAGTCGAGAGAAAATTTCAGGAATTTGAAAAATATTTCCTGATATTTTCAAAAATGGCGTTTTTGAGAAATTATCAAATAATTTGATCAATTATAAGCTTCTACAAACTGTGATTGGTGTCAGGTTGTGTTAAACATGCTTCACAGTTTCACCACCTGTTTCCTATTTTAGTAAAAACAGTTTCATTCGCATAGGCATTGCCATAAACAGGAATTTCTATGGCAATGGAAAAGAAGCTCTGGTTTAAATGGTGCTTTATCTTTGATTTTAGCCATTTCCTGATATTTGTTTCCTTGTAAATACAAAAATATCTATTTCTAATAAAGTTTTAAGAAAAATTGAAAATGATTCTAACCAAGCTCAAAAGATATTGGCAAATGACTAAACTTACCCTTTGAAATAAGGAGAGGGACGTAAAATATGACTTTCTGAAAGAAAAGATAGAAGAAATATTCATATATCAGAGGTTCCAATATATTTTTTTCTATTTAATTGAAAAAAGTAATGCAATAAAGGGACTGTAAAGAGTTATTTTAAACTTTGTATGCATATCATGTTACAAAAAGCATCTATTTTCAAATTTCAATTTTCAGTCGGAATCTTGAAATTCCAACACTACCAATACTGATGAGAACAATACATATGAGAAGAAAATCATTTTTTTATGCCAATATCCAAATGTGTGACGGAAAAACTTAAAGAAACGGTTAAAATTTTCACACACTAATAAACATATTTGAATAAAAAGATAAACCAATACCTAATAATTTTTGGTTAATAGAAGCACCAACTAAATTAGATTTTTGAGGAACACAAACCAAATAACATTTTTCCTGAGCTTTTTCATATAAATCACTAAATGTTGTCTGAAAAGAAAAGAAAATATAAGTATTTCATCTTATATTGAAATGAAATCAAGTTTGTATTACTATGTATCAGGTATTATCATGTATTACTATGTATCAGGTATTAACATGTATTACTATGTATCAGGTATTAACATGTATTACTATGTATCAGGTATTATCATATATTACTATGTATTAGGTATTATCATGTTTTACTATGTATTAGGTATTATCATGTTTTACTATGTATCAGGTATTATCATGTATTACTATGTATCAGGTATTAACATGTATTACTATGTATCAGGTATTATCATATATTACTATGTATCAGGTATTATCATGTTTTACTATGCATTAGGTATTATCATGTATTACTATGTATCAGGTATTATCATGTATTATTACTGCCCATCATGTATTATTATATATTATTATGTATCATGTATTACTAAGCTTATATATTATTATGTATTATTATGTATTCATGTTTAAATCCATATATTGTACAACTTATCTCTTTCTAATCTAATTAAAATTAGATTTATCTCTCAAAGTCATAGAAACAATAGTTTAAGATGTGTTTCATAGTACATAGAAGTCTTGTATATTGTTTTGTAATGATACTCATCAATCAAAAATGAAAACGAGAATGAGTATTTTCCACATACAAATTATAGGATAAAACTACAACAGTCCTGGAGTCACAGGAGGAAGGACATAATTAACATCTCATTGTGCAGTTTAGCACCTTATTAACACAGAATACCTCCAAACCCTGGACACCGCCATTTCTTTACACAGACACTGTCATTCACTTACACAACTATTCAAGTTGTTAGATGCTTTATGTCACAGTTTGTACTTTCATTGGCACATAACATCAAGGAATACGTCATAAATTTCATCAAACTGTTAGATTGTCAGATAGATAAGAACAGCAAAGAAATCATACAAGTATTCAAGTTTTTATGACCGGAAAGAAGAACACTTCATATTTAGTCATTTCTGCTCAATGGCTATGATATAGTGACATAAACATCAAAATTGTAAAAAGAAATTTCATCAAGTTTTATGACAGAAAAAAAAAGACATTTAATGAATGAGTTACAAAACAACTGTTGACTCATATTTAGTCACCTTTGTTTTAATAGATATGCAAAGTTTGATGGATAATTAGTGACTCTATATAAATTGTGATTCTATATTCATTGTTTGTATTGCAGACGACTTGTAACTTGACAAGAATGTTCATCAAAATTACAGAACTCAAACACTCACAAAACTTGAATGACTTTGTGTGAAGATTGACAAATGTTAAATTGGATATTTGGTGCAAAAGATGAATTGTTGGATTGTGGTATCGCAGTAAATAGTATTATGAAATACATGAAAATACACAAAATATCATGGAAGGTGTCATTTTCCGAATGATTTTGTGAATTTTGAGGTAACTGTCATTATGTTGTTCAAAGGATTTTTTAAAAATAACAATTGATAGATGGAATATGATTATATTGATGACATTCTGTGCGGACATTTAACTTAAAATTTATGTTAAAGAATTTAAACTGAATAGAGAACTATTAAAAGAAATTGGAAATCATCTTCATTCAACCTAAAAAGTTGCAAAAAACAAAAAATGATGGATGAAAGATTTATCACACTTATTCCTGGTTTATTAATTACCATAGCAACATTCTTACTGGGAACAATTGCCAATAGTTACATCATTGTCAAAATTATCCAGAAACCCAAATGCTTTCTCAATTATTCTTTGGAGTTAAATATTTCTTTTCTGGGCTTAGTTGTATGTTTCTTCATTGCCTTGTTGACCATTACAGAAAATGTACTGAGCCTAACAACACCTGCAAAATATCCTGAAATGTGTGGTATCAAGTTGAGTTGTTCATCTGGGCTTCAAGTATCATTAATGGTAAATTTAATGGTCCTTAGCTACAGACGCAGCAAGAAAATACGAACAATCGAATCGAGTCCAAGCAACCAGACGCAGTACGGATTAATTAGCGTGATCGTCTGCTGGTTGATTGGATTAATAATGACTGTAATTTGTCTGGTAATTATCTTTTCACAACCACTTACATCAGACCATGTCTCTCAAGGGTGTGAATTTCTCAACAATTATTCCATTTTTCTCATCAACTGTCTGCTATTTCTAACTTTTTTGATATCTGTTTCCTTCAGTACAATTATAAATATCAAAATAATGAGATTCATAAGAAAACCAGTTGTGTTTCCAATTTCGGCAGTCAACACCAGTGGACTTCAACATCCCAACTCCAACAAGGTTGTTTGTACATCAGTTATACAAACTAAACAACTTATGAACATTCCTGATCAAAGCAGTGTCTTGACTCAACACGGCATTCCAATCTGCAGTATTAAAAAATTGTCCTGTTCGAGTATTTCAGCTTCAAATTTTATGGATTCACAGGCAGGAACTTGTATGGAAAACTCCAACATGATACGTTCCAACTCCATCTTCAGTTCTGCAAAAGAAGACGACAATGAAAGTGACGATGAATCTATTTTTAGTATCAGCAGCAAATCCAACTTATCCAGTCGTTCCTTCGTATCCAATCAAATTCGCCTACATAATGGAATACCATCACAGTTGAACAACACCGTAAAAGTGGAGAACACAAAAATCAAACTTTGTGATGACATTAGCAAACTCACAAATTGCGATTTCAAGCAGAATTATATCTCAACAATTCATTCACCAGTAATATTTTCTGCAGAAGAATTGTTCAACAAAAATAATCAAAATGTCCGATTTGTGTCTGAGAGATTATGCGCACTCTCTTCCCCAAATCCGCGCAGCATGTCTGAATATTCAACATACAATAGCATAGAGGATGAACGAAACATATACCAAAATAACATCCATTGTGAAAAAACTTCCTTCCATAGCAATAGTGATGACAGTGATGTCAATAAAAGTGACGTTGACAGTGATAGTGACACAAGTAGTGAAAGTGATTCAGATGACGTCAGTTTAGGTGACATAGTAGATCATGACCTAAATTGTAGCGAGGGGGATTGTGAAAGCGATCAGCATGATGACTGTTCAGATTGGGAAATGCCAGAGCATAAAAAACAATACATTCTATCACGGCCAAGACTTCAGCCATTGCCAATGAAGAAACGCAATAAAAGGAAATCAAACAATAAAAAAAACTACATGACTGCATCTCATCAACTTCTAGTCTCAAATCAAGAGAGGAGCATTCAATGCTTAAGCCCAGGCACAAATCTCAGTCGCAGAAATGCCATTGTAAATTTCAACTATACTCAATTATCACCAGAAGATCAAAGTCCTATCAGCCCAGAGAATAGAAAAATATTTCCACCTCGTTCAAACTGGAATCAAAATATGAACATGCCTGTTATGTTGACAAGAAGACATAGAATGAAGCGAATTGTTTTTCATAATTTATTATTAGAACTCTTGGTGTTTATTTCGTTCATGATATTACCATATTTAAAAAACATCATATTTTACGACTATACACAGCTCAATGAGATTGTCAAGTCTTTTCTGCACTTAGCAGAAACTTTTAGGTTACTGTTGTTTGCTATCAATCCATTTCTATATATCATTAAAAATAAAAATATCATGAATGATTTATTATGAGCTAGTAAAATACAATATTTTCAAAATATTTATATAAGCTTACCGGTATTATGAATTTATGAATGGGGTGAAAGATGTTTTGTGAATCCAATTACTGTTCAGTTTTGTTATTGTCTAAAAGCAACATTGTATATATATCTTTAAATAAATCCAACATTTAATCAGTCTCTTGTTTCATTTCATACACATTTTTCCTTATCAACGTAAAATTTTAGTGTAAAATAAAGCTTGATTCAAAACATGAACACTGAAAAATCCACTTCATATCTTTGTGGAATAAACAGAAATGATGTTATTAGTTGAAGCTTACAAACAAGCTATATATTGTGTTGATTACTACTATAAGATGGACTGTTCATGTAAGCTTATATCATTAAGCTTATGCATTACATAGATACAATACATTTGGGAAACTTCAGATACCTGTGGCCCAACCTATAAATTTTTCTCACAGAATAGGAACATGAAAAAAAGGTATAATGAGGTTAGAGGAATAACTAAACGGTTGTAAAGTTAATAAATCTAATTACAGACAGGGGTCAAGATTTATAAAGACTAAGACTAAGAGGTACATGCCATGCCAATCTTGATGAGCCATTGCATACATACATTACATATTCAACATATAGGTCTGCTACTGTCAAACACAGAATGAGAGGCAGTAGCAGATAACATTGATTGCATTATATCATGACAGTAACATTGATAAGCAGACATTAAACCATAAAGCCAAAGGAGCTGTGACCCATCTCCACCAGGTAACATGCCTCCGGCTCTCCCCGTACCTTACTCTTAAGCCTATCAATATAGAAATGTTATGCTGGCCTTTAATTAACAAGTGTTGAGTAATTTAAGCATAATTAGCTGTTGTAACTACAAACAGAGTAATCAAATGAGTCATTGAAATTGACAGTTAAGCCTACACATCACACAAATTCACAATGACATTCATTCATTCATCCTGGTAAATTTTTTGACTTTGATCTGAACCTGAGGATCATGATTTCAGTTGATCATTTTCACACAAAAATGAGGGGGAAATGGGTCTCTTTCGAAACTAGGATAATATTGTATAATTATAAAATAAAGGCACCTGTAAGGCTCTAAAAAACGGATTTATATCCAACTCGTCCATGTCATAAGACATCTTTCATTTCAGCTTGAACTTTAAACTTTGAACGTCCTTGACCTTTTCCAGTTAAATATTCTCTAACCAAATTGTCGTTAGATCAAAAAATAAAACAAACTTATTTAGTTTTTAATTTTTAGTTGAAATTATTCTATGAAATTCTGATTTTTAGCAAACATGTAGATTTCAATCAATATGGGCTAAGTCAATTTTTGTAATTTATTGAACATTGTTGGATGGAGATTACCAAAATGGCTTCTCTTTACAAATCTTTTTGATTAAATTTCGAAAAAGATCAAATTTTCCATGTAATTTTATGAAAAAATTGTTTTTTTTCTTTCTCAAACGTGTGTCTGAAAGAGGGTTCAGCATTACAAACCCTAACTTCATTCTCTTTTATGAACCGCGGAGTCGAAAACGTCAGCCACTATCGTTGCCGGCTCATTCATCCAATCTCCATTCATTCATTGTCTTTGCTGAGTGTCAAAGAAATTCAGTCACAGCCATCTAATTGCAAAGCCTATTAGAAGACAGCTTAGCTTTGATCTTAAAAAGGGCCAGAGTGCCACAATCTTAAATGGGGCCAATAGAGACTGTATAGGCCTAGTAGAGTAGGGTAGGGTAGCCTAATAAAAGATGAACTATCATTATTCATCACAGCTTCTAATATTCCAGTTAGTGGCGCAAAGGAAATTGCATCTGGCCTGAAAATCTAGCACATTGTTGAATTGAACTCTAGGTGCTTATGTGTACACTGAAATCTTAATAAATTTCAACGCTTTATAATTTTTTCAGAATGTTAATTAGCTAAACACAGCTAAAAATGGCCACAAAGAGACCAGCGCCGGCAGAAGATGCTGGTAGTTCTGGGGCCTCTGCTTCTAAAAAGCAGTCGCTGTCAAGATTAGAACCACTGAAACTTGGTTCAATATGCTCATTGGTACGTAGAAATTGACTTTTTTGTTAAGGTCACTTGCTGAATACGTAAAATGTATTTGAAATTAAATCCAGCATGTAGAAAACTTGTTTAAAGGTTAGAATTTTCATGTAAGCAATAGTCAGTTTGAGATGTATAAAGAGTAAGTTCAAGCTTGCAACAGATTTTCTTTGTTGTTGAAGAACTTAATTGTTAGTTTCATTTTGCCAACTTATGTGTTTCATCTGTTATTAGGAAGAGCTAGATATGAAAGTTTTACACTTTCAAAATAAGAAACTAGGTGAAAGAATAGAACAGAGAAAGAAGGCTGAAGGTGAATTAAAGAAGAGAATTGAACAGTTAGAGAACAGACAGAGAACAGATGATAAAGTTTTAATGATAGTCAATAGATATTGGAATCAGGTAAGTCTACAGTCAAGTTAAAATTTGTCATCTTTTTTGCTGGTTTCAAGCTTTCCTACAGTCACAGACTGTGCGACAAAGTAAACTGGTTGTTCCCTTAAAAACTTGGCCTTTTAAAATTAATCCAGTAAGTTCCAGGGTATAAAGTAGTGTATAAAACTATGAAATTGATTATCCAATGCTTCGATTTTAGCTTGATGAAGATGTACGAGTTTTGTTACAAAGATTAGATGCTGAAACAGCTGATGAAGATGAAACTAAGAGTAAGGATTTTTTCTTTTAAACCCCCTGTAAATTCATGGCATGGTGCATATACCAGTGTAATGGCATATATTGGTGCAAAATGGTGGGCTGTTAACATCATTTCACATTTTCTTGATTCCATAATGCACTTCCTTTAAAGGCTTTTCTTACATCAATGTCATCTCTATAAATTTCCTATACCTCCTTCAATAACCTGCTTGCATTATTTTACTATTATAAATCTAGATGAAAGCAGTGAAACTTCATCATTTCTAACTCTACTATCAACATGGGATAAACAAGAACTAGAAGATAAGTTAAGCCAGAGAGTCGAGTTTTCTAAACGAGCTATCAGTAAATTATTACAAGCTGTAGATCACTTGTTACAAAGGAATGACAAGCTACATTCTGGTATTGTTGATAAAGTAGAGAAAGATAGACAAGAGTTATTAAGTAATACAATTAAAGCTGCCACGTCTGGAGAAGAGGAGAAAAAAGAGGAGGAAGAAAAGAAAGGTAGGGCACTGAAAAACACAAGATTTTCAGATTGATATATTGTTAACTGGCACTGTAGCGCATGTTGAAGTTTACAGCTTTGGTAGTGGATCGCCTTCAGCCTTCTTATATTGTTTGATACAATAGGTACTTGAAACTTTTTTCATAATTTTATTTATACTGTAAAAACGAAAAGTTGATAAACCTTGAAAACTACCATAATGGCTCAAATTCAATCTTAACTTTTCTGGCTGGATCATTCTTTAATATCATGAATAGCTATTCACCCACGTCTTTCATGTCATGCCTGGAGTCACGTCTGGAGTGATCCATGAAACCTAAACTACTCAATTTATGTTTTATTGTGAGGTGACTATTAACAGTATGGCTGGACATGTTTGCCAAGTGATTTTTCTTTATTTTTTTTTTTTTATTAAAGATGAAGAAAAGAAGGATGAAGAAAAAGATGAGAAAACAGAAGAAAAAGATGAAGAGGAAGAGAGACGGAAAGAATTTGAATTATTGGTGAAAGAAGAATTGACTGAAGTCAGACGTGAAAATAAACAACTTCATAATCTGGTGACACAATTACATCAACGTCATCATGAACATACTCTTAAGGTAAGACCAATTTTACATCAGAAATGACTGAAGCTGAGGTGACTCAGTGAGTTGAATGCTCACTTACCTAGAGGACCTAGATCTTTTCCTAGCAAAGGAAGTTCGAATTATAAAGTAAGTTGATATATCTGCACTGGCTAAATTTCCTTCATTCCCCTGTATGTGCTCTAGATGGCACAGAAAATTGCTGAATTAATGATTCTGATGATTGTAATAAATTTTTCAAAAGAAATCAGTTGGTAGCAAGGTGGATTGACGTCTACTAGACGATTTGGTGCCTTGGGTTTGAATCCTCAAGGTTAGAAAAATTCTAAAAATCTGTCAGGTGTTGACTTTCAACCCCCATCTCCTATTTGATTTATTGTAGATATCTGAAATGCAAGATAAAATCACAGCTTCCGAGACAGAAATAGCTGAGTTTAAAAATAAAGTAGATGATTTAGAGTATGAATATGAGAAGGCTGGTCAGAGAGCTGAGAAGTTAGACAGACATCTTGCGGATGCTCTACAGAAACTGACGTATTATGAAGAAACTGGTGTGACTGTTGAAGGTGTTAAAGTGGGTGCAGGAGGAATGGTGTCAAATAAAAAGGTAGGTTTGAACTTTGAAAGGGTATGAAATCAATGTTATGTAATGTCACATGTTATCGATTGTTTAACAAACAGGTATATCATTTGATGATAAATGAGCTATATTTTCTCTTTCTTAAGGAATTAAAAATGGAACAAGCATCCTGTAACGAAATTATCAGCTAAAGATTTTTTTATTTTATAGTTTTGTACTTTCGGAAATTATAAAGGCTAAAAGGGTTTTAACCTCACTTCATGATAAAGTCTATGTTTTATTAGTGTATGTTTTTTTATTTAAAAGTTAGATGAGATATTTGCTGAATTAGAAGAACAGAAAGAGTTAGCTGGTAACAGATTAACAGAACTAGAAAAACTCAGTAAAGATCATCAAGAAGCAATGATAGAAATAGAAAAACTTAAATTAGATGTAAGATTTCATTTTGATTAACTGTGTGGGGCTTTTCTTAAATCTTTATCATTTGAGACATTCTGTTCAATGATATAAATTTTGTGTTTGTTTTTCATGGAATCTCTGGGATGACAAACCAAAACTTTCATATGCCCTGGGTTCCACTTTTATTTGTCTGTTCTCCCATTTTTGCCAGTGACATTTAACTTTGATTTTGGTGTGAAGTTAAGACTTGTGTTTTTATTTCTTATTTTAGCTTCAACACCTACCAGAGAATATTATAATAGATACAACAGAGTATAAATGTATGCAGTCTCAATTCTCTGTACTGTATAATGAATATCTACAGATGAAAAATCAGCTGGAAGAAACAAAAGGCATTGTTACAAGTAATAAAAACGCTCATCTTCGACAAATAGAACAAATGGAGGTAGGGGAAATTTTTAAATAACATTGAAAGATTATTTGGTAGGCTTATCAGATGACAATTTAAGGAATCCTCTGTACTTTTTTGCCAAGTGACAAACTGGCAAAGGGTTCATGATAAGTATGAAGTTATAACAGCACTTATGTACATTGTGTGTAATGAATATTATTATGAGGAAATTTTTTAAATTTGAAATTGATTTGAAGTTGAAGTCTTATTGAGATATGAAATTACCCAGTAGGACATATGGTTCTGTTAATAACTCGATTGATTCCATACAGATCGATGAGTTGACCAATCAGAAGAAACTACGATCTGAAATGATCCAATTAGAAGATCTGTTTGCTCAAGTTAGAAAGGAGTATGAAATGCTACGTATTGAGTTTGAACAGACATTAGCTACCAATGAACAGACAGGTAAAAAATATGGAGAGTTTACCTTTAATCAGATGTCATAGTTTTAAAAATTGTTTTGATAAAATGTTGTTTTGGATTTCGGATTTCTGGATTGTTAGTTGGTTAATTTAACCAGTTTTGGTTGTTCAAATTCAAACTGTTGGCAATATTTGAGCAAGGATATTTGTTGAAGCAATAGATGTGCTTGTTTAAATTGTAATTTCTACTTTTGAAGTTTTGAATGAATAAGAACTATATAATTGATGATAATGTGATATTTTTTTAGCAACTATTAACCGAGAAATGAGAAATCTGATACAGAGTTTACAAAACCATAATCAACAGTTAAAGATGGAGAGTGGTAGATATAAACGTAGGCTGAAGGAAGCTCAAGTTGAAATCAATAAAGTAAGTAGCTGAGAGGACATGAATTGGAGTTTTACTATCTATTTTTATGTGACCTATTTGGCTAATAAAACTGAAATTACACAATCAAGCGTGTCATGAGGGAAAATTTGCTGGGACAGGAGTCAAACAACAGTTTTTCCAGCATCCAGCATCATTTTGAGGAAGATAGCTAAAAACATCATTGAGTTGAGACATTGGGATCGCTTGATTGATGAATTCTGCATGTTTGGAATTCAGGGAATCATCTAGACGTTAACAAATCAAGTTTGTAAATGGTTAAGAACGTTTTCCATGTGTGCCAAAAAAAGTAATTGCAGATAGAATTCATAATGACGGATAAAAAAATAGATGAGAAAATAACCCCTTCTGTATCAATCAATTGGGGGCAGAATTTGAACTGACTGAACCTGTTCAGAACTGACCAATCAAGAGCCACCTATATTTACATGCACTGGTTATGTAGTGTATGACAACAGCAACAATAGTAGTCTGAAGTAAAGTTATTTAATATGTCTCTTTGTGATATTTTACAGTTAAAAGCTGATAACACTGGTGGATCATGTGCTTCTTCAACATCCTCTTCAGTATCATCTGAGATGAAAATAGAACTGAAAGATGAAAGTGAAAGTAAAGCTAGTGCTACTAGTAAACCAATAGTTATAGAACCTGATGTTATCATCATTAAGAAAGAAGAAGAAGAAGCTATGGAAGAGAATAGAGATAAGGGAAAATCAGAAACCGAGATTATTAAAGATCTTAGATCTCAACTCAAGTAAGTCTTAAATTATCAGTCATTGGTCTTAACTGCATACAAATAAGACAGGGAAGTGCTGTAATCCTTAGACTTTCGACTTAGCAAGAGTCACTCATTACAACAGGATGTGTACAGTTGTCTTGGCAAAATGTCAGTCATTGCACGCTGCATAGCATTGCTCATGTTCATTTGCATAATCTAGAGTAGAGGGATGCAATACTCTATTATATTTTGTCTGTTAATTAGCCCACATGGTGCAGAAAAGTTTGTGGTAAAACTCCATTCATTTCATTCTGTCTTTTAATTTGTTTGAAGAATTATATGAAATAGGTGTAGAAAAGTTTTTCTCAAAAGTAATTTTAATTTTAGTTCAAATCAAATAATTTTTGAATCCTATTTTCTAGGAAAGCACAAGACAGTCAGAAAGAACTAAAGTTATTATTAGATATGTATAAAAGTGCTCCTAAAGAACAGAGGGACAAAGTTCAGGTATGTGGTCAAGTTGAATAGTCTTATGCTTTCTATTTTTGTAAAACTTGGTTTGTGATGATTGAAAATGAAGTTATTTGTAATATATTATTCCAAGTATTGATTATTACAAACTTGCGTTAAATTATGATATGATCTGAAAATTTGACCTAATCATACACTAAAATATAATGTCTTTATACAGTGATGGTAAGATAGCCAACATTTTGATTGAAATACTTTATTCCTTGATCATTTGACTTAGTAATATGTGATTATAGACTCAGTAAACTTTTTTTGAACAGTTGATGTCTTCTGAGAAGAAAGCTAGACAAGAGATAGATGAATTAAGAGGCCATATTAAAAAGATGCAGGAATCAGAAAGAAAGGAAAGAAGAAAATTGGCTGAAGAAGACGCCATTAGAAAAATCAAGAAGATGGAAGAAACTATTTCAGAATTAACCAAGAATTTATCATCTCAAAAACAGGTTTGTTAATGTGGATAATTTCCACTTTACTGACCAATTGTGTATAACTGAGAATATAATTCCCACCATTTCTTTCCTTCGAGTAATAGTATGTCACTATGTTCCTGATAGTGTACCCTGGCAATGAAAGGGTAAAGGGTAATTAAAAGATTGACTATTGAGTTAATACATTGTATTTTTATAGAGAGAAGAGGCTTTATTAAATGATTTAGAAGTGACAGGTCAGGCGTTTGAAGATATGCAGGAACAAAATACACGATTATTACAACAGCTACGAGAAAAAGATGATGCTAATTTTAAACTCATGTCTGAGGTAGACTATTAATGATTTCAAATTTGATAGAACTTGTTTGCATAAAACATTTCTCATTGCACACTGTATGGTATTGCCCATTTCCCACTTCACAATCAATAGCAGAAAAAAGAATTAAAAACCAACATTTTTGTTATCTATAAATCTATAGATTGTTTCTGTAATAATATTAGATAATCAGAATGTAAGGCTAAAATTGATGTCTGTCATGTGGAAACGCAAATATTTAGATTATTACCTTTAATATCTATCTTACAGAGAATAAAATCTAATCAAATACATAAATTATTACGAGAAGAAAAAGATGTACTAGCTGAACAAGTAGCTACCCTACAAACACAGGTTGAGGCTCAGAATTTAGTAGTGAGAAAACTAGAGGAGAAGGAAAGAATATTACAGAATAATCTACTTACTGTCGAGAAAGAATTAGGGTAGGTTAATTTTAAAAGTTTTGTGGAAGGGAATTGACCATACCAAAAATCAATAGCTATGAGCATTCTATGAAAGGAATGTTAAGTTGACAAACACAGGAAGAATGTAATCTTTGTTAGAGTATAATAATACTCTTTCTAATTCTTTCAGTTTCACCCAACAAGCTATGGAAATGCAGAAAAGAAAAGCTGTAGAGAGTTCACAAACTGCTGCTGATTTGAAACTACATTTAGATAAATATCAGTCACAATTAAAAGAATCTCAGCAAGCAGTGTCTGAGAAAACTGGGTCCCTGGAACAAGAAGCATTTAAATACAAGAGAATGCAGGTACGACTATTTTTCAGTGATAACTGCATGACAATCTAGTTAAAATATACAAAATAAACACCAAGGTTATAGAGAAATAATTCTTCTACATAGTCTGAAGATTTCAACTAAGAATAGAGAGTCTTTATACAGCCAAACACCAAAACTAGTTTAAAACTGCTTAATTAACAATTAGTACTCTTTGTTTTTAATTAAAACAAATTCAGTCAGATCAATATTTTGACATATAATTTACAATGTTTTTGATAATGAAAACATTACATACTGCTAGGTTAATTCTGTTTTATTTTTATCAATAGGAAGAGATAGCTAAACTACAACGTAAATTAGAGAGAAGTAAAAAGATAGAAATGGCGGGAGCAGCTGATGAAGTTTTATTAGAAGAAATCAAAGAATATAAGGTTGGTTGATTATAACCATGTTTCATATGACAAATACATTCAAGCATTCAGCACTTTTAGCTGTGGAGTAATGGACACTCTTTCCATGTCAGCTCCTTTGATTTGCACTTTTTCTAGATGAAAATGGTTTGCAGGTAGAGTAGCATGTGGCCTCCACTAATCTGCTTTTCTGTCTTTGGATTCTTTTTTCATGCCAGTCAAAGCAACAATGTGAAAACATCCTCTAAAATGGACTATTTGTCTGCAGAGATATAAAGCTAGTTGCTGATGTTTTATAACCATTTAATTTATTTTCAGGAACAACTGACTTGTCCTTCGTGTAAAGTAAATAAGAAAGATGCTGTACTCACCAAATGTTTCCATGTCTTCTGTCTGGAATGTCTTAAAACCAGATATGAAACCAGACAAAGAAAATGTCCCAAATGTAATGCTGGATTTGGTGCCAATGATTTCCATAGACTGTATTTATCATGAGCCAGGTGAATTATTCCTTATGGTGAAAATGGACATCTTGTATCCAGCTTTGTTAGACTAATTAATGAGGGTCGCACTTCTCTCATAATATCTTGCGATAAAACTCTGTGGGATATTTGTGAAATTTTGCCCTGGATAGTCTGCAAAGCTTGACTTTGATAGTAGGATATCTATCAGAGACTATATCCTGAGGGTGGTGTAAGGAATTTTAGTCCTTATTTCATTAAAAAAAATTCATATATTATCCAAATTTATTACATGGGTGAACTTGTAAAGTAAACTTTATGGTGAAGTATTTTTGAGTACCCAGAACTAACAGAGGTTATATGATGATTTAAAGCTTTTAAATGAAGCTCATTAAGTATACAGATACAGATTTTTTGTTCTTTATCATCAGAAACAATAGATTGTTCAAGAGTGAGAACAGGTGCCCACTATATTCACAATTATATAGTATATGTCTTGTGTTCATGAAGACCTCCAAGAACTGGTTGTTTTTCTACTCAAGTCACTTTGAAGTGTGCAAATTTTCCTTTGCAAATATATGAGTAAGCAAGTCATAAAATGGACTAACTTTAGCAACACTGCCCTGAATACAGAATTATCAATTAAACTTGTGTTCCATTCGTTCTTGTTGAATTTATATTGAAGGGTATAAGGACATTATCAGACATAATGTAAAATTATCCAATTAAACTCAAAATAAGATTGAAAAAACATGTATAAAGTATTATGAAAAAAATTCAAAACTGAATACATGATTCTACAATCTTAATTCTTCTTTAGACTGAAGTAGGCAGATGAGCATTGTGTTTAGTTCAGTCTTGTGTACCCTTCCATATTTCTGGTATTTGAGTATTTGTGTTGTGGTATGAAGCTGTAAGTTTATTTATGTACTAAATTAATTGGGCTGATTGGAACATTTTCATTGTCATTCATTCTCTTTCTTTTGTTTGTTGCAATAAGTAATCTTCTTTGTTTTTCCAATTGTAATGGTGGTGTTTTAAAAGGAAACAGACAATAGACAATACATTGTTAAACTTACAGAGAAATGTGAAATATGTTAAAACTAAATTTAGGTGCTAAAATACTTTGTAAAGTTATTGTTAAGATTGTAAATTTGTGTAAATGCTTTTAGCTTGTATTTTGTATATCTGTGTATTTCATGTAAAGAAATAAATTGTTAAAAGCTTTGAGTTTCGCCCTTGTGCTCGAATATGAACTACTGTGTTATATTCCAGAGGATGGTGCCCTGTGTATTTGTGAGGTTATGTGTCCATTTACTGTAGGAATACAACTTGTTAACATCCACTTCCAGCAATCTTCTAACTTGTTAATGAAATGATTGGCAATTATAGCAATTACAGATGTACATTGGAATTCAGAAAAATCAGACAACATCTATTGTTAGTTATTGCCCTTATTTTTCAAAACGATGTCTTATCGGAATGTAAAACACTCCACAAACTATAGAAAGAGATTACAAGCATGACTGTTAAACACATTCCTGGTTGGAAATGGTTACACTTTATTCAAACAGTATACCGAGAAGTTCCACAAGCTCTCTGCAACAGATTCAGCTTTGCGGAAAGTGCCGAGGATTGCTGAATGTTCTGAAAGTGGACGTATTTTACCTTGTTTGGCAAGCAATATGAGAGGTATCAATTTGAACAATGATTTTCGTGTGGCCTTCAGAACATGTTGACCGACAATATTAATATATAAACAACAGTGACATGTCATACTTGTGTCTAGTGTGAAAAATATAGGCTATTTTTAATAATCAGCTCTTTCAAAATTGAAGGCTTGTTCTAAAGTCTAAAAGGTCTAAACGACGAATGCTCATATCAGATAACAACCTTATGTTATTGTCATATCAATAATAATCCGAAACTGTCAGAAAACTCCATCATTAATCTAGCTTTTTGCGGTATCAGTCCATTCTAATGCCTTCTATTGCATCATTCCATTCGTCAGACGTCTGTGGTTCCTGTAATTATGGAAATGTTTAACCGAATGTGGCATCACTATTTAAAAAAACTCTTTAAAATACTTTTAGGGACAACATTTTGAAGTAAGTGTTTATGGGCGTGAATATTTTAGTACATATTTTACGTAACCATAACCAAAACAGATCCATATTTGTCTAATAGAATGTTTCGGACTATGACAATTAGATAAATGATATAAAATTAAAATATTATATAATTATGATTATTTAATTGTTAAATTAATTACCAGTAAGATGAAGATGATAAATATATTTATTGTCGTGTATTGTTTGATTTCACCGTGTTTAGGATTCTGGTTGTCTAGTAAAACAGTTGACCCAAAAGTCGGTATGTTTCTTTTCTCTAATTAGGCCTATGACAATAATTGAAGGGATATAGTCACTCAGACACCTGGGTTCTAGAAAATTTTAACTTAAAGGGATTGTAAAGGGATTTTCTAAAAAAAATTACGTGTATCGGGGACACTATCTGATATCATCAATTTGGAATTGCAAGAGTCGCAGACGTCTGAAAGGAATGACGAGTGTACACTATACATACTTTTTTACAATCCTTTAAAGGACACATTTATTTATCATCTGATGGGTCAATTATTAAAATTTGATTTAAAATAACTTCTTAATTGGAAAAGTTTCTTAAATAAAGTATGAAAAATTCTAGTTGAACTCAATGAAGCATTTGTGTAGGTTATAGGGTATTTCGATTCAGGTTATTTTTGATATTTCGAATCTTTTTATATAATTGTCATTGAACTGGATGTGAAAAAAACGATATTTAAAATGTGATAATTAAGAAACCTTTCTTAATTTTCAATTCTTATCGTTTTAACCACAGCATTGAGCTGTTTCAGGTCACCTAGTACGAATCATAATCAATTATACCATAATTTCAATTCTAATATAAGCATTTCCAACGGAAGTACCTGATAAACATCTGCTAAAAACAAACAAGAATTGGAAATTTTGAAATTCGGGTCAATCTATGCGTGATAACTTAACATTTGCGCAATCAAAGTTCATTGACTTATATGAGGTTAACTTAGCTCAATGTAAGAAACTTTTGCATAAATAGGATGTAGGAGGTGAGGGGGTGATCGCCCCTTTGTGACTTGGTTTTTTTAGTTTCTCTCCCAGAGAGTCCGCGTAGCTAATAGCGTTTTGTGTTCGCAATGATCGAATAATTTACCGATGATCTGCTGAATGATCTGCTGAAAGATTGTCGTTGTAATAATTCCACAAGGTCTTCCTTTTTCAGACATTTCAACAGAGTGTATCAACAAGGCCCTGACAGGAGACTGTGGTTTCTTCACTTGTTTTGAAGAGAGACTCCCATGTGGCGAGTATGGCTATGCCGAAAGTTATGGTGGAAAATACTGCTGGCAATTTCAACAAAGTCATCATCTATTTACCAAAAAGGTTCTGTATACACCAAAGAAACGTACAATATAGAACTAGCATGATCATGATTCATTTTGGCCTTCGAAATTATTTCATTTTAGTCCTTATCGCTTGAAACAAATTGGTCGGTTCAACAAATTTTCATTATTTTCTTTAACGTTCCAAAGTAAAATTTGTGAATTTTTGTTTCAGGGTGTTGAATTTGTAGAAAAACTAACGAGATGTCATATGAACAGATCTATAACCAGCTATCGTCAAAATCAGATCGAATGTTTTAGTCATTATGATCAAAGCTTTGTTATCATGGTTAGTAGTTTTTTAATCTCGGTTACCGAGTTGACTCGTAATTTGTGATTGAAAAAATATTTGAATTCCGAATAGCGACTAACAAGTCAGCTGGAATTCCAACTTTCGAATAAAAAGCCAAACATGACAGGTAGAATCCCAAATCCCCAATAACAAGCCAGCTGGAATCCCAATTCTTAATAACTCGTCAGCTGAAATTCGTAAACCGGAATAACGAGCCAACAGCCATGTATTTTTTTTGTTTTTTGCTTTATGGATTTGGTTGATTAAGACGCTTGGACCCCTCCTTTTTTCACGACAGACACCAGTACCTCATAACAGTTAGATTACGGGTAACATTTGCTTATATTGTAGGGTGACTGTTATGTAGAAAGTGGTTTTTGTGACGTAGTTATAGATAATTTTATGTCCCTGGCCAGAATTCTGGAACCTAAAGATTTCACGAATTACAGGTAATTAAATAGCTTCTCTTAGTCCGAAACACAATCTTTCCAGCCTCAGATAGATATTTCTTCGGTTATGGGATATGGAAACAGTTGAAGGATGTGTTAGCGACTTTTTACGTTTTCCTCGGAATCTGACGAGGATTGTCGAATGGGGGAATGTGCCAACGAACACAAAAACAACTGGTTCACCGGGTATACTCGAATCCTGTAGAATATTACCATAAGTGAGATCAATATATTTTCAGAGTGGTACGAGAAGTATTTAGAGCAGCCAAACAATGTCCTAACAACATTAGTGGTGGTATCATATCTAAATTTCTATCTTATAAACGTGGTAGTTCATTATAAAGGATATTTGGTATAAACACTGGTATTTTTATAAAGGGGGTTACTCAGATCAGAATCCAGCACCGAGCAGCACTTGTCATGTTATAAGAATGTTTTCTCACATTAAACAATAAACGCCTTGTAGACGCCATGGAGATCGCATTCAATAACGGAATATGATATTAAAGTTTTCAGCTTTCTATCCCTCGCTCAGAGCATACTCCAAGCTCTATTTGGGATTGCACAAAAGTAAAGGGCGATATCTTATGTATTAACAATTGAAACATATTGAAATCGGATATGCAAGCTATCTTCGGCAACAATTCCAGATTCCGATATCATTATTTCTCCCTCTCCTTTTTGGGCTCGAAGTTTTTCGAATAAACAAGACATCGGGACTGTTGATTTGGGAAACAAAAAAAAAGACAATCCAAGTACAAAAGAAAATTATTTATTGCACTTATTTTGGTATATTGCACGTAATTTTTCCTGAGTTTGGTTATTACTTAATATCTTCTACGAGGGAAGGTATCTGAAAATAGAGAAAAAAAATGGGTTTTATTTACGCAATGTATCATAGCCTATGATCATGATGGGCATAGGGATCGAAAAGCAGTAGTAAATGTTGAAGTCTTGACAAATGTTGTCTCATTGCACAATTAATGGCGTTACATAGCATTATTTGCACAAATGGGTGCAAAATAGGTCCCAGACCAAACTTCGTTCTATGCTTGTTAAGATATTTTTACAGCATCGAACACAAAATGGATAGGTAACGGTTTCATAATATAAAATCCCCTTCCTCAAGCTTCAGAACAGCATTTCTTGAAGCGAAATGTTAACGCATTTCTAGTTTCGCCTATGTATTTAAGCGTTTGTAAACAAAGGCTTCGCTTCAGTTCTTGTTCTATTGCGTTACCCACGTCTGCAAGATGCCCTCACTAGAACTGTTTTGTTTCGAGATGGCGGAATTCAACGGAGCCACTACAAACATTATTCATAATGGTCTACTCACTTCGGATTCCACCTCCAATCTGTTGGTTTCCAAAAAATTGCTGGTTATTTTGGAGATCCCATGGCTGTTGGTTACCTAACAGATGTTGGTTATCAAGAAGATGTTGGTTGTTAAGCCACTGTTGGTTACCAAGGATATGTCGGTTACCAATGATCTGTTGGTTGTCAAGGAGATGTTGGTTGTTTAGCAACTGCTGGTTACCAAGGATATGTCGATTACCAATTATCTGTTGGTTGTCAAGGAGATGTTGGTTGTTAAGAAGTTGCTGTTGGTTGAAATGCGAATCTCTGTTTAAACCTAGAAATAGCCAAATGGGTACAGTTAAAATCAAGTTAAAATGAAAAGTTGGCCAATGTGTAAAAATTTCATGGTAGGTGATTTGAATGATTAAAATAGTTAAGTTAAGCGTACTTATGAAAACACAAAATAGTAAGCTGTATATTGGCCTGGCCTGGATACAAGATAGGCCTACAGATATTGTAGAGAAGGAGTGGCTTCAAAGGAATTTATCAAGAACAAGCACTTACCAAATTGTTTTCCTGAGTTAGAGTAGGGTGATCTGTACAAAGATCTCTTGTATCCTGAAAATCATTAGAATCATTCAATAAGATTAAACATGTATTCTTGTTCTTAAAACAAATTAGGCTTTACGACGCCATTCACAATAAATCTAACGATACAAATTTGTCGTTGGAATTTTACATTGATAAATAGCACTTTTGTGACGAAAATTTACCGTACGATTTTGAAAAACTGGGCGTTGGCGCACATGGTTTCAATATACGTCACATCAAGAAGGAGGTTGCAAGACTTTTACAACAGAATGTTTGTGTCCTATGAACATTTTCGGAACTTGTATGATCCGAGATTGCTGTCATCTGGTATTGCTGCCAACACTGAACTATAAACGGGAACTGTCTTGCTTTGAGATATATGATATATGTAAATGCAATATTCTATGTATCTAATATTGGACAGATTTGCTGGTAATATTAGGCCTACTTACTTCTGCCGTTAAGACGATGTGTTCTAATAGTATCTCTTGGATAGAAAGAGTTGGATGAACCAGACCAAGGATTTCTTCGGGATCCCCAGGAATTCAGGTTGTTTGGGAAATGATTACTTCCGGGATAATGTTGGATACCATCGTTTCCGAAAATATCTGAAAAGATTTTAATTAGTTTAGTAAGAATGACTTGAATGTAATTTGGGTACATAATAGATACTCTCAAATGTTGAATCGATAAATGCAGCCCGAGATTAGCATCAGATGCTCCGAAAAGTTGATGCTTCAGCGACAAACGCTACAACAGATATGGCTGTGAAACTTTTATTCATTTGTTCGGTTTAAATTTAAGAAATTATTTAACGAACTTCTTTTAAAGGGAAAAGCTTTTGGAGAGTGTTATTCATTTCTATTAACAGTTTAAAGCTTTTTTCCCTTTTTATGAGCTTCATTTTCTGCTTTTTAAAAACATTTACATACATGTAGATGATAATATAAAAAGATTTCCTACCTTGTTTCAGTAAGCTAGGATGAATATTGGATCCAGGCCAGGTATTACCACCCCATCCGCCATTTCTTAAACCATGTCGTGTGCCCGGGGCATTATATAATGCAGTGGCAACAGAAACCAAGACACAGAATACCAGGCTGATTTTAGGATTCATCTTCAATTTACTGAAAGAATACGATTTTGTTTTGATTAGTGTGTTCTAGTAATTCAAACGAGAATGAAAAGAAAATTTAAACAAAAAAAAACAAATAAATTTCCACAATATGACAATGCAAATTTATGCTTATAGATGGGAAAAATGGATAACAAATTTGCTTTGATTAAGTCAAACGAAAAGAAATAATGAAATTTAACGCCCTGCACTAGTACGAACTGACAACGCCATGCAAATTTGCAATGAGTGAAATGTTTCTATGACATTAACATACTCTTTCTCTTTTTCCAAATGTCTACGGTTCTTTAACGTTCACAGCCTGTAGCATATTGGCTCACCGTTTATTGTCCCACCCGAACGACTAGAAGCGCTTTACATTAAAGTTTAAGAGAAGACTTACCTTTCTTAGTGATTATCACCCAAAACAAAGTGAATATGAATTCTTATTGAAAATTCTGAGTATATATACCTTAAACTGGACACTTGGTGACGTCATATTAATATAATAATAAAGAAGTAGGGATAAGGAAATGTCGTCATTGGAAACTTTGATTGACAGCAACAAGGGGTTACCGAGGTCATAAAGTCAGCTAAATTTATTGAGAGTTTTGACAGGCTTAAAGTTGCATTGTCTGTAATAAAGGCTAATAAGAGCGGTTTCTCGTCGAATGGGAATTAAACCGAGAATCTTGAAGCTATGTGAGCTTGTAAGAAAAGCAGAACTCCTTCTAAATTCTAATTCAGGTTTATATTTATATGAACTTATGAAAATGAAAAACATTATTTTAGAAATGTGTTGTTCTGGATGAGTTACCCACAATCTCTAACATGGCAAGTGAATCAGGGATGTGGGAACATCCAACTTGAAACTTCCCCCATATTAAATCACTGTCACTACGTTTTACGACTTACACAATGAAAATAATAGATTTTTATTGCCATTTCCATTGTCATAGTTTGAATTAGAAAAAAAAACTGGGGTTATAGTTGCCCAGGCAATAACGGATGATAATGATAATGATCTTTCGGACTCTGTGTACGTCTGTTTTGATGCCAATGGAAGTAACTCTTCCACCAAAGCATAATAGAAGGAATCAGTTTTCCAACAAAATTCCATGAATTATTCCTTGGTTATAAAAAAAAGTCCAGGCTTCTCGAGCATCCCGAAGACTCTCACAGGTAATATTATGATTATTTCGAGAGAACAGTGGGCAGGCAGGAACATCGAGACCGTAAAATCTATTTCCAATGTGTGGTGTATTTCTATCCACCCTATTTAATTTAAACCAGCAAGCAAGGAATAGCTAACTTTGATCCGTCAAGATTTAGTCTCAAAACGATTTAAAAAAAGAAAGAAAATAAATACTGCGTTAAAGGCTAGTCTGCAAAATTGTAGGCTATACAATCATTTTTCGGTAACACTATCGCTATTTGTTTGAATTGAATAGATCATAGGAATATCTGCTGGGACAAGGTTAAACTGACTCGAGGCCTTTGATCAAAATGCGATTACTCATTCATTGAATGCCTTAATACATATCCCGAAATTATAGAGTTTATGAGGATTGAAAGTAACAAGTTAGGCTACTATTCAATAAAGGCAGTGGCACAGGGTTAAGTCTTATAGAAAAATCTAAAGAAAACTTTCTAACCGTCTATTTCGGATTATTTTTGGTAATCCCACCCAATAATAATCAATCACTAAAAAAATCCTAATTTATCAGCTGTCTGACGGAAACATCAGATAAATGTTTTCTTTCATAACTAGACTTATGAACTTAAAATTAATTGATTCGATTTGTTCTTTTTAAATATTATCACCTTATTTCTACCTGAATTGTGTTCAGTTCTCATTGGTGATCATAACCCGTCGTCTTCAGTGCAAAAAAAGAGTAGTAGAGTGCGATATTTTATGTGCAGAAGAGAGTTACACATTATGCTCGCTATAAGAGACCTCACATCATAGCGCGCACCAGTTTCGTATGTTTGCGAATAAGAATAGCGGTCATACGTTTCGAAAGCAATTCTCATTCTTGCCAGTTGCGTTTGGAGCTCATGGCCACTTTAATAATTCGCAAACATACGCAACTGGTAATCTCTATGGTGCGGGGGTACCTTCAGTTATACGTCCATGCTCGAACATGGACATCTGAGATGGGTTTCTTACATAGATATCAAATGCCCCAAGTAACGAAAATGGGCAATGGTAGAGTCGCACAAAAGGGAAAATGCTGAAGGGAAATTCGACAAGCTTGTCGTCTGGAGTATTTGTATTCATGAAAACCTCAAGAAATGAAAATAAAATAAGAAGTAAAAACAGTTTAATATCATAAGTTATCATAAGGTGTAGTGAGTCTAATATTAAAATTATAGCCTGGTACAGCATCATAGGTTGATTGACATATATCTGGTAGGTCATCTCGTAGTTGGTCAGACAGAAAATCATAAACTTGAACTGTTCCTCGGTATCTACAATTATAAACAATATACAATATCTAAACATGGCTATCTCAAATGGAAGCGAGAGGTTCACTAAGAGTCCACATTGGGACCATTATCAAATAGCTCCCAAACACAATGGCCATTGTGTTATGTAAAGCAGACCAATCCAAGTCACTAAAGACTGAGCTATACCACTGAAATTTCTCAGGACTAGTATAATTTAGATATTATTGGATTCCCACAATTGGGAATTCACCTTGAATGGGTTTTGAGCACTCCCAAATTGCATAGAATGACGTCTATTTCAAGGCACAACACAAGTGCTTGAATGTTATTGCCTGTCATGTCTGACTGGTGCTCCAAATTCCTTTTATGGCTGGGTAATTTACAAGTATCATGATAAATACTGGTATAGAATTTTATACTGTTAGTAATATAGCCTCATTTAAAAATACTGAAAAATCACCATATGGTGATGAACCAATATCATCTAGCCTTACTTACTTTCTATGTGTAGCTGTTTCAAACTCTGTATCTATTTCTGGTGTTTTATTATATGGTATGTTACCAACTGTTAAATATTTATCATAAAATTTACAATATTCTACTGGATGTCTACAATATATAATATATTATCATTCATATCAAAAATATAAAAACATTTATGTATTTCATTAATATAAATTATAAGAATCCTGTGTATCGACTGAGCCTTGGTCAACAGACCTCAAACATCCATCAAAATTAGATCCAATTGCCAGCCTTTGATCTGATACACCTCTTTTTTATCTACCTTTATCCCTGTTCCATAGTAAAATCAGATTTTGGTTTGTCTGTTACTAGCCACAAACCTGTTATGAAGTTCCCATATTTTCCTGTCCATTCTTTGGTCTCTTACAGTAACAAACCCTGCATTATCACTAGACACTATTTTCCAGTCATCTAATTGTACAGTACTAATACTACCAGTATGTCCAATTATAGTCTTGATTGGTCTAGTACCACTTCTTAAATCATACACTCTCACCCTGAAATGATAAAATGCATCTCAGTTAAGAGGTGCTCCTGCTTTTCTGCTTTTCAGACTGTAGACATGCCAAATTTACCATCATGGATCTAAGTGTTGCCAGTGGGGACATTCTCCTTTAATTTTCATCTATGATAAACTCAGATGTTTAGGATAACTCTACTAATTAGTCCTTGCTTTGGACATAGACCCGTGCTTTCTATGAGTTAAATACTCATTTCACTTTAACACTACAGAACTGGAGTTCCACTTCCCTGTTTTTAAGGCAAACTAAATTATGTTGAGAAGTTGTAGGGGGACTTTATTGTGGTTGCATATTGAAGTTGATTGCTTAATAAAGATGGTTGAGTGAGTAGGGTTCATCATTTTACGTTCTTTTATCAGGGCTCTACATGTTCCCCTTTGGGACATTTTCCAATGACTTTGAAGGTATATGTACTTACTTTCTATCATCACTACCACTGATCAGTAATTGTGATTCCTCTACAGGCAGATACAAACATGATATATTCCATGTATGACCATGTAATGTTGATTTGATTTCATTCTTATTTAAATCATACAGTTTGATCTGAAAATAATATAGTCGGGCAGAGTAAGTTTTAGAAGGAGATTACATTATATAAGCGATTATATGGTGCTTAACTCTTGCACCATTTGCACAGTTCATGAACAAGTGAGATGGATTGTCATCTTGTCCCAATGCCAGAGGGCAACGAAAATATTATCTTTATGCCATGACCTAGGGAAATGTGTTATTTAAATCAAGGTATAGGATTATTCTGATCACTGATCAAAGTAAATGTTAGGTCTAAAACAAATGCTAAAGGAATGTGGAAAAAGGCCTCACTAAGACTAACCTCACAGGCCTCATACAAAGTACTTTAAGAACTTTGAAAAGTCCTCTGTGAACCTGTAAATATCCACCTCACAGACCTTTTAGTATGAAAATCTTCAGTGTAGCTTTAGCCACATCAAACACGCAAATTCAAAAACTTCAATAAAGAAAATTAGAGGTAGAAATTACCTTATGTTCTGCTATGGGTGAAAGAAAATGGACACCAATAGCCAATAATTCGGGATGACCCTCTACACAGCGTATGATAGTATCTATAGTGTTATAGAGCTCAGTGACTTCACGGCATTCAGCGTTATATAAGTGGACTTTATTTACATTAGCTAGAATTAACTTGGAATCTACAGGATGATTGGTGGACGCTGGTTCTAACCATCTTAGTTTTCCGACCTGAAAGTGGAAATGTAGAATTATTATAAAAAGGCAATAATAAAAAAAAAGGTAACAAGTGAAAGCTTTGGTCCTATATACTTGTGAATCATCAATTGTTTTGGTGTCTCTTGTTTTCTTCCTTTTCTTTTCTTTCTTTCTCTGCCCCATAAATCAAAAACTTACTTATTCAGAATAACCTTAAGGTATCTTCAAACACTCTTAAAGATATTTAGAAATGGCATTGCAAATTAAGCTAGTTTTGTCAAATTTAATTCTCAAATTTCAATATCAAAAGAAAAAGTCACATTATTCTAAAACTATGCATACTTAATAGGAGTTCTACTGTTTGTTAAATTAACAGTCAATGAGACTTACATTATTAATGTGTAGTTGGTTGTGTATGGTAAAATCTGAATTCTGATCTGGAGATCGTAGAATATATACAGTATTATCAGTAGATACAGCCAAATCAGGGTTGATAGAGGATAGCCTTATATCTTTAACATTACCACTGTTTAATGTAAACACTGGTTCAGTCCCTTTATCATTACACCATATATCAACAAAACCTACATGAAATAAATATTCATTATGCGCAACAAATAAAAAAAAAATCAAGAAACCAATTAAAAATTCAAATTTCTTAACTCTTTGTTCAACCCAAATTATTGGGAGTATGCGGATTTATCAAATTCTGTTAATATTTCAATCATTGTGTTCATGTGCTTATAATTTTTTTCAATTTGTTTGTGATTTCCAAAAGTCCTTACCATTCAATTCTAACTGCTATTGTATAGAAATTGCAAAATATACCAAATAAATTGGTGCATATTCCCACTATAAATTTGTTCAGAAACAAAGCTGAGGCTACTGAATAATATTGATGATATTTACCATGAGTATAACTAGCTGCTGTATATTGATGAGATGTTTGTACTTGTTTAACCTGATTACTGACTGTACCAATCTCTACACTTTCATCTATAATCAACGCTGTATTACTAGACTTTAATATTACATTATCATCTTCATTCATATTCCATACTTTTATATCACAGTTCGTATACCTAGAACATATCATACGTAATAAGTTATTGTTATCATTACCTTAGTATATCTTTATGATTAAATCAATAATAAGCAACATCTTATTCTCAAGGAATAAAATCATCTAAATACATGGAATTGCTTTCAATTTGAATTCAATTTCAGCTACCTGGTATTCATAATACATTTCAAAATTAATACCCTATGTCTAGTTGGTCTACAATTAAGAAATATATAGTGGTCAAAGTGTCAAGAAAATAAGTTTCCAGTGCCATATGTAGCAGTTATAACCAATATAATCTTGGATATTACTCATTGCTATTCGGGGGCAAGGTAAAGTATGACTGAAGTATACATTTTATTGTATCAAGTCAATATCAAGTTAAATCTACCTACCCAGCTACGACTAATTCTTGATGTGAGTGAACAGCAGATAGAATTCCACCCTGTATATGTTGTAGTTGATGATATTTACCTATTCTACCCTTAAAAAAAATACACAGAAATTGGTTAATTTTCCAAATATTTCACAAATCTTAAAAATCAATTATAGATCTTACAATAATCTGATGCTACTTTCCCTTTATTATATTGTGAAAGCCATGTTAATCAGTAAAGGTCTCTATTAATATGTTTCAATATCAGCAACCCCAACTTCCAAACTAACCAATCATGGGTTTATGTTATGTCATCAATCTTATCATAAATATTATGAGTCAAATCTGAAAAATAAAACCATACCTTCCAATTTGAAATTAAGGTCTTCTTTCTTTCCACATAATTTCTAAGAATTCCTTTCCAACCATATTTTTCTACAGCGGTTATCTCCCCTTCATAACCTAACCTATGACAGATTCTACACCAGAGTAGCTCATCATCAGCTAAACTTCTCCAACTTTTACTCACCTACAATATTTCAAATTTCATTAAAACCAACCCCTAAAATTGTGATTAATAAATATTTTAAGAAAAAATTAGTCTTTGAACTAAATGAAAGGAGTATGAAATGAAATGAATGAAGTTGTATGTCCTACTTTTCTGCAATGAAAGAAGTATAGCATATGAACTAATATTAGCTGTACATGTGTATGGTATATAAATGAACCGGTGTCTCCAAATACACTTCTATTCAGAATATTAACATTCTATCATGATCATACCATGATGCAAGGTAGATTTTCCCAAACCTATGTTCAATGACACATATGGTGGAACTGAGTTATACTAAGGTTATAGTGTAATAGTAACTTTATGGGTTTTTTGACTGTAAGTCCATCTCCTCAACCTTGAAGAAAAGAACAATTTTGTTGGTTCTTTTTAATACAAGCAAGACTATACCATACCTGTGAACAGCTACACAGATCTTTAATACTCAGATGATGGAATATTTTTATAGCCACCTCTCTTGCTAAACTCGTATCAAAAAATGGAATTTCATTTATTTCATCCTGAAAAAAAAAGAATTTTAATAACAAATGTTAATCAATCTATATCATTCTAAATATGAATATTGATAAAACATTAAATCATTCTGTTTGACTGAAATCTGGTTTTGAAGGGCTTATCTCTAACTGCCAACATGCTTTAGGGATGAAATCCTCAAGAAGACAGCAAGTGACACACTAACACATCGAAGGCATAATATGTTATAAAACCTAAACAATCTTAAAATCAATGAAAAATTTACCAAGTCTTTCACAAATATATCGAGAAACCGTTCTTTGTTTTCTTGTTTTTGCTGCTTATTCTGATTGTGTTTGAGTTTTATTTCACCCCTGTCTGAACAGTCTGAAGTGTCATTTTCCATTGAAAAGCTTTCACATAGCTCTGTGTCAAAATAATTCTTTTTGATAATTGGGGGTGACAGTACATTTTTGGGCCCACTTGAGCTTCTACGCTTTTTAGGGGGTGAGTATTCTTGAGATCCACTTTTTAACATTTCTCCTAGGAGCACAAATGGATAATATCCTCCTGTAGTATCAATATTGTCTTTTTCGACAACATTACTGTCAACTAAAAATTCCTCCCCTTTTTCTAAGTCATTTTTCTGGTTTGAGCAAGTTGGAGAGCTTGATCGTTTTAAACTCTTTTCTGGTATGTTACAGTCAGAGATTGAGATTCCTTCAGTATCTTTATTACTGTCGAAGTTACTGTCATTCGAAGAACAACTGTCTTGTTTTGACAGTGACAGATTTGATGGAATAGAATGTAACTCTTGAATCCAATTAGCTCTGAATTTTTCCAGTTCTTTGTTTTTCTGCTCCATTATTCAAGTCGCATGTAAGTGTCACTTGCGAACGAAATGAAAAACCAACGGAATTTCTAAGCGTTTCAACTAAAATACACTGTGAAATACATGAAAAACGTTTTGTTTATTTACATCGGTACACTTTATGGAACTTTATTTTAGAGAGTTGGGACCTTTCTTGATCTCTCCGATTAAAGAGTCTTTTCAGGAGTTACCTCCCTTCTGGTAAGAAATGAACCAAAACCCAAAACTGTCCGGTGAATTTTTTTAATTTGTTTCCCTTAAACCTTATTTATCTTCTCATCTAAGATTCGTTACACTTTTGGGATGAAGCAAACTAAAAAAAAAATACAACCAATTTCTTTGTGCTAATGGGAAATTAATCAAGCAAGAGATTAGTTTCTGATTAGGTATTTGTAGGTGTAATTAATAGTGGCCTGTAACCTAATTAGGAGTTTAATGAACCTTAATTTTCACCTATAATAACATCTAATATAAACCCTCTTTGAAATAAAAGAGAGTTTAGTCTGAAACCACTGTCCTAGAGTAAAGCCTTGGCTCCCCACCTAGCCTAAATAGTAAAGACCTTGTATATCCTACAGGCTTTTGATTCCTGAGACCAATCTGAATTCCTACATGGGTAAACTCTAAATAAATAGGCCCCAAGTAGACACAGCTAGAGCTAGCATATACAGTATAGCTCAATTTTTATAATTCAAATGGTGATTGAATCAAGTATGAATGTTATGTAGTGTGGAAGATAACTTATATGACGTGCTTTTTTCTATCACAAGATCTTATAATCTTTAATACTTTCAACCAGCAAATAATCACATTTAGAAAATCATTTTTTGATTCATCGCTATACTGTGTTCACACCTTTTAAATGTTTTGTGTGTAATATTACTTTCTTGTTATACTTCTTATGATAAGTGTTTCATGTCAATCTTTATATTAAGATGTTTCAATGATTTAACTGTTTCGCCTATTTTCACTAGCAAAATCATTCTAAACTCTTTTACTTATTTTTACTATAGTGATGATCTTGATTATTCAATAAAAAAAACTTTAATGTGTCCTTAAATCTAGGAATCATACTCTTTCATAAGAAAGAACATGTCAAAACAAAAACTTAGTTAACTTCTGAGTTTCAAATAAACCTCACAGGCAAGAGTGGGAGGCCATAGATACCGTTTACAATCTATCTCACACAAAACCTCAGTGTGCTCTTGATAACCTACATTATTAAACTATCCTTTCTTTTATCAAGTGTTACACATTTAACTTGTTCAATGAAAAGAATTCAAGGCAATGATATTTGCATTTTCAAAGTTCAAAGTCCATGGTCGTAAGGACATGCAACCTAATGTTAAAATTGTATAATGTATGTTTTATTATTACAGTGAACCAATGTGAATGAACAACTAGACTATTTGTATATGGATATTACTAGCTGAAGTAGAATTTATGTGGTGATTATTCCTACAGGATTATAACAATGATTTTTGAAGGATTTTTCCGATATATATCATCTCATCCATCAATAATTATTGGAGCATTTCTATTCTACGTATTTGTGTATTGTGTATCGCTACTGGTTAACAGAAAGAAACCTGGACGGAATCCATTTTATAAAAATCAGGAAAAGCCAAGAGAAAAATTGGTGACGGATATAAAAGCCAGGGATGCCATTCTCAAGCAGCGTAAGTTACAGCAAAGTTTCTTTCTGAAATGATAACAGTAAATGAGATTAGAAAATTGTTAAATGCCTGATGTGTGCAATTGGGTAAATTTTGTCTATACTAAAGAATTTTGATTGTTGTAATTTAATTAGTCAGATAGATAAGCAAAGTTTTAAAACTCGCTAAATTGATATTTTATTCCAATATAAATTCTACTCTCATTTCCTTTTTCTAGGCTTTACACCAGCTAAAGTGCCAGAGAATTTAGATGCTATAGTAATAGGTAGTGGATATGGTGGGCTATCGACTGCTGCTATATTAGCCAGAGCAGGAAAGAAGGTGTTAGTCCTAGAACAACATGATCAAGCTGGGGGATGCTGTCATACTTATTACAGTAAAAAAGGATTTGAATTTGACACAGGTAGGGTCAATTGTAGGCCATCTCTGAATCTGTAACAGTTTTCTGCATGCAAGACTATCATACATGTGTATATAAGAACATTAACAAAAATGTATTTACTAAAGGCTCTATTAGAAATAGACTCTTATGAAATATTTTAAATGTTCTCCTTTTCTAGGTTACTCCATAGCGTCTATGGTTATTACTTCAATTTCTATCTATTGTCAACGTCATATTTATTTAAATTATGTTATCGCTTTGCGAGTAAGGACTATTATTTCGTAGCGTAATTTATGTTATTTCAGGGATCCATTATGTTGGTAATATGGGAGAAAGAGAATCACATAGATTTTTTCTAGATCAGCTGACTGATGGACAGATTGATTGGGTTCCAATGGCTGATGATTATGATACTGTAAGATATCCATTATTTACATTGATAAGGCATGTAAACTGGGCAGTACATGTAACAAATAAAACAGTTAAAGGCAAGGAATCATGTAATCATGAAAACATTCTTTGTTTTATGCGTTGTATATCAGGGTTGTATAGTTTCAATTATTATTTCATCTACCTACAAATAGATTACTGGTGTTCATATTTGAAAACATTCCCATTCCCCATCCTTGCTCATCTCTACATTGGTGAAACATGGTAAAATATGAGGACGAGGCTTAGAAGAAATACAAGCTCAACATCTCTGTTTTTCACTGCGATACATCAAGTCGGAAATTCCCTGAATTAGAAACAGAATGCCACACTAACTATTTGGCAACTGCACATCACTTTGGGACAATTTTGTAGGTGATATTAGGAGAGGCCAGTGAAAATAGAAGATATAAAATGTTACGTGGAAGAGAAGAATGTATTAGAGAGTTGAAGAAAAACTTCCCTAAAGATCATGAAGCTATTGATAAATATATAGACCTTATTATGGTAAGAATCAAAAATGGTTTTGTGATAGGATACTATCTAATATTACATCACCTAAAAATATCAAGAGTGTATACTTTAAGTTAGATAGTTTGCCCAAACATTCCCACAGAAGCTATGAATTTCTTCTTTTCTATTTTGTAACATTTTGAAATATATTTGATTGTCAAGATTCCTAAAGTATACAACTTAAACGCCCTGCCTCTGAACGCCCAAGCCCCCTAAAGGCTAAGGGATTTCATTTGAATTTTATACATGGCTTAAATGGGTTTTCCATTCTAACATTTGTGCTGTTATAACAAAAAGGTTCCATATTTCAGAAAGCAAGAGCTGGATATACAGGACTAATGATGCTAAAATATCTACCAAAATGGTTATGTAAAATACTAATATTCACTGGAATTATTCACTGGATATCAGAGTATTTTAAATATAGTCAGATGTCAGTGATACAGGTCCTAGACACTTTAACTGATAATATAGAACTTAAAGCTACTCTATCCTATATATTTGGTGATTATGGTAAGTCTGGATATTAGGGTATTTAAGATATAATCAAACGTCAGTGATTCTTTAACTGATAATATAGAAGTAAAAGCCACACTATCCTATATAAACCTGTAGTTTTGTTAGACTGTTGTCACCAGTTATTAACCCTTTCAACACTGGCAGACACCATACTTGGCACATAACATGATATAATACCCGAGGGGTCAGTGAAGGGGCTGTTACCAATGATGTCACAGAATATTAATGTCAAATTGCTTGGTGTTCAAAGAATATGACTTTCAATTACACTCAGTGTTCAAAGGGTTAACATATGGTAGAGCAAATTTAGATGACTTAATCCCTTTCACCTCTTTTTATTTCAGGTGTTCCACCAAAGGAAGCAGCATTTTCATTCCATGGGACATTAGTAGGACATTATCTAGGAGGAGCTTACTATCCTAGAGGAGGACCAAGTGAGATAGCACTTCATACCATTCCAGTTATAGAAATACCAGGAGGTCGCGTATTAGTACAGGCTCCAGTATCTAAAATAATCATCAATTCTAAAGGTCGTGCTGTTGGAGTAACAGTAAAGAAAGCAACAGGAGATATGGATATCAATGCGAAGTATATCATATCTGATGCAGGTGTTATTAACACCTTTCAATATTTATTACCACCTACTATAGCTACTAAATCATGTAAGTTTCATTGCTTTTCTTTTAAATACCATTAGCCCAATGAGGTGCAGAACAGTAGGATGTAAGACTCCATTTCATTTCGCTGCTTTTCATTTGAAATTTTTCTGAATGGTATCAAGAATAAATGGAATGAGCAATGCCATGCAGTGCAATGGGGAAAAAATTGTCATGACTGCAGCATTATCCTTTTCCTTTTCGATTTTTAACTGTCAAGGATCTTTATATATAAATATGACTTGAAGAAAATGAACATGTTGGCAATTATATTTATGTGAAATCATATTATATCCAAGTTTATTTTGATTTCATTGTGATTTTATTATAGGTATTTATCCAATGATTGAGAAGCTAGGATCAAGTTGTTCTTTTATAACAGCTTTTCTAGGATTAGAGGGAAGTACAGAGGAACTCAATCTAAATGCTGGTAATATCTGGTATTTTACACAGTAAGTTAATTTGAGATTTCATTTTTTTTTCAGTGTAAACACAATTGAATAATTACTAGTTATTGTTTTATAATATGTACATGTATATAGAATTTTACAAATTACTCTTATAGAAAAGAGTATTATTGAATGTTTACAATGTTAGCTAGTCATTTTGGAGCTCAAATAAGTCAGCCAAAGATCCTGCTGCATTATCCCCCAGTCTTTCCTGTAAAGTTATGAGTGGTATTATATTCCATATTCTACCTCTCAACTGATGGTACCTTACTCCATTGATTATAGACAAATCTCTAATCTTGCATTTTCAGGGCTGATACTGATGGGGCTTTGAACAAGTTCCTTTCATTAGATGTTGATGATGTAGGCCATCAGGATTTCCCCTTACTGTATATTTCATCACCCTCAGCTAAAGATCCTTCATTTCCAGATAGATTTCCAGGTAAGTTGTCTTATTGACTGTTATAGTCATCATTTACTGTTAGATACACTAGGCTCTTGTGTTAATTATGGTAATAATTTGAGGAATTATTCTTTGAGGAAATTTTAGTTTTCAATGGTAAGACATGTTTTAAGGGAACAGTCTGTCAGCATTTACAGGGATTGATTTGGGTCTTTATCATGCTTTAATCGCATAATCCCTTCAAATATCACTTTTATTATATAGGAAACAGTGTATTACTAGTAATAACACTAGCTAAATATGAATGGTTTGAGAAATGGAAGGATGAGAGAGTTAAAAAGAGAGGTGATGAATATAATGCTATTAAAGATAGAATAGGAGCTAGGATTATAGAACAATGTGTTAAACTAAATCCTAAACTAGAGGATAAGGTCAGTATTATGAAAAGTGAAATATCACAACCATAATAAATATACAGACTCTCTGAAATATATGAATTATTGAAAAAAATTTGCTTTTATGAAAAATTTATTTTAATCAAAACTGAAAGAAGTGTTCAAAATACATAGATTGATTATGCAGGGGATAAGGTTATAATTTGACACAGCTGCGGAAGATGTAAAAATCAAGAACTTTGAATACCACTACACCCTCCACAATCTGACATATTTTCATGTGTGTCTGGATGTCTGATTACACATAGTCCACTGTATATGTTGTTGATAGATTTACCCATTGTGTATTGACTAATGCTATAAGTGCAGTGCCAACAATACAACATTAGGTTGTTATATTTCTGTCTACAGGTAACATTATTGAAAGTTGGTACACCAGTGACCAATAACTACTATCTGGGAACTAAGAAAGGTGAAATGTATGGTTTAAATCACAGTATGGAGAGATTCTCACCTGAAGTTTCTATGACATTACGTCCTAAAACTGATATACCTGGTCTCTATCTCACAGGTTTGTCATCAATTTTTAAATTTATTATTTTTCATTCTTTGAATCTCAGTTTTATAGGATTTCATAGGATTAAGAGTAGGTATTGTCAATTTGGCTCACTGGCAATTTGAGAAACCCAGAAATTTGAAAGACTGTTTACTCTAAGGATATGTGAATTTCTACCCATTGATCTCGTCTTTATATCAGGTCTCTGTTTCACAAAAATTCTTATGATAAATTTTGTTGTAAGAATGTTAAATTCCATCTTTACAACAAATTATTATCGTAGATTTATCTAGAAATGTGGTCAAAGTTTATTTTAATGTTTCATATAAATTTATTTGTGTAAAATGTGTATTTGTAGGTCAAGACATGGTTACATGTGGTTTTGTATCAGTTTTATATGCTGGTTTACTGACAGCTTCTACTATATTACATAGAAACTTAATGTCAGACCTTCATAGTCTGAGAAAACAGGTCATTCAAGCTGCCAAAGAAAAGAAAGACAAGAAACTTGATTAGATATTACACCAAGGTTGAAACTGAAATTTACAGTTACTTGTCATTATAAGAAGATTTTGTTGTGAAACTACATATTGGTTATTTAAAATTGCACTTGATGTACCAAAGGTTAGCTTATTTCAGTAAAGGTGTCAAATTTCTCTGTTGGTCATTTCAAGTCAAAATCAAAACAAGAATTCCAATCAGAAACAACATGTAGCCAAATGGAAGTCTATGTTACAAGTTGAAGCAATGTCTTTATATTGTTAAGATTATTGTATATATGAATTAAGTTATGTTTTGTTATATTTTCTATGTCTAAATATAAGTGTGAAGATAGTGGTACCAATTTTTTTACTTGACATATTAGTGAATTCATCCACACGGGCATAATTTCATCTTTAAGCACTTTCATAAGAAGAGTTCGTTTAAAAAATCAAGGTTTGTTGCTGTCAATGCAGACTATTTCCAGTCTTGCCTCCATGGAAGTAGGAATGACTATGTTGTTATAGTTCAACTATTGTTAAAGCAGAAGCTTTTAGCCACTTAAAGAACTAAAATACTTCTGTTAAAATTTTTATTGTTAAGTTGTTGGCATGTTTTAGAGTTCATATGTTTATACAGAAAGTTACATCCATTCATGGGCAGCTTGTATGTTCATTATTGTTCCCATATGTTTATAAACTTTATATTTATAAATAAAATGGATTACAAATCTGTTATGTTTTTCATTATCCCACTTGTCTGTTCGTGACTTCCTCAAGACAGACAGTCCTATTTGTACAATATGGGACATTTTGCCATGACAGCTGCATAAGCATTCTCTTTTCACTTGACTTATTGTTCCATCTGTAACACTTTGTCCACATTAGTTCAATAATATGAAGATGGACAATGAGAGAATTGTTTCTTGACATAAGCCCTTACCTCTGTTTGTTCAATTTTTAGCTTAGCTGTTAGGAGTACTGCCTGTAGCACATATACATGTACCTTGATTTATTGGTCCAAATCACAAACCAATGCTGAAATCAAACCCAGGACCAATTCTGCAAACAAGAGTGTAATTTGCTGCCTCAAAAATAAAAGACAAGAGTTAAAACATCCATGATTTATTGTGATACTATAAATAATATAATTTCATGATTTTAACAAATTCTTATAATATAACTGACCTTTCACCATAAAACCACGTTGGGTCATTTTTTGAAAAAGAGTCAAATATAACTCGTAATCCAGGATATGTGATAATCCTTATGTTTCAAAAATTGACCCTAGGATTTGTTTTAAGATAAAGGACTATTGATGTATCACAGTATATGTAGGATTAGCCCACTATTAAAGGCCCTATACTCTTCCTTACAATACCTTAACATGATCACAAAAAGACACAATAGGTGCAATAATTTGGATAAATATATATACTGAAAGGCAAAAGAAACATCTTGTTGATTTATATGTAGAATAAAGAGTTAGGTGCCACTAACTTTAATTCAGTATATTCTGGGACGTAACGTACGATGTAGAGACCCTCCTGTACAACTGTAACAGAGTTGGATGCAGCAATGCATCAGGAGTGGCAGCAAATTCCTCAACAGGACATTCAAAGTTATTTGACTACAGAACATGTAACTGCCAGTGTTTGTCAAGGTTTATCAGTATTTTCATTTACCTTTCAGTATATAATATTTAAAGAAAAATGAAGCCTAATTTTAAGCTTTTCAAACTAAATGTGTAGTGACGAACTTTAAGCCACCTGCTTGGAAAATTTGTAATATGGGATTGTTCGATTCCAAAATTGCAGTCATGGATAAATACAAATTAAAATGGCTAATTAATGGCAAAAATTGAACACAATTCGAATGGTTTCTTTTCAAATTAAAATTTTACTTAACTACAAAGCAAAAATCGATTGTTAATAATTACTTACAGATTATCAAGTGCTAAATATAGCAGTGTTACGTAGCTCAATTATGTTTTGAATTCTACAACTGAATTCTATTTACTGACAGACAGATTCAAATAATGTAATACAAAATATCTAGTAATTAGCTGGCTTATTTTAGGAATAAAAAGTCATTAAACTATATGATATCAAATTTTTATAACTTTTTCCAATATATGGCTAACACCAAGCATTATCAGCTGGAATAGCAAATAATTAGATGAATATGTCTCTATGAATAGATTCATAAAAGGTTTTTCAGTCTGCAAAAGGAAGTTATGTGTGATCTCAATACATATACAAAGCCTAGAAAACAATCTGAATTCTTTATAAGCCAAAAACAAAACTGATAGCAGAATTTTATAACAATACGTCATGCAGCAAGCTGAAACAAATAATTAAGATTAATTTGAAGATGGCAGATCAAGATAAATTTCGTATCAATCAATTTAATTTATATCACTATTAATAACCTGAGACATATGGAAATTTGTTATCAAATAATTCAGATTTTAATTTACAACTAATGACATATACAGAAGTTTGTATCTTTCATGTAATCACTAGGTGTAAAACTGTGTCTTCATTACAATAACACTGCCAGTCCACTTTATTTTGGTAGTATAAGCAAGACTAAAACTAATCAAACTACCAACTACTACGACTACCAACAACTACCTAGTTTGCGATATCAGCATCTGCTGGAAGCGAACATTTACTTGTCATCTACCAAACAACCAACCAGACTAAAATTGTGCTGATTACTACTTAAACTGCCTAAATAAGGTGTGAAGCTGCTGGTAGTAGAGTAGAGCTGATTATTGGACCAAGGACTACAGAGAAAGATACAAACTTCAAATATCCTCAAAATTAAACAATAAAATAAAACTTAAAACTATTTACAAATTATTAAACAATGTTTAAACAAATTCCAACATTTTCAACAATAGTTTTGAAAAATAAACCATTACACTAAAATCTTAGTACTATATGATCAATTTTATAATATAACTCTAAGTAAAAATTTGGTACCTATTTTTGTGTCCTCATGATTAAGTTCCCAATCTTCTACACTAAGTCTAAGGTTTTGGTCGAGCCCAGCTATCAGTATCAACCCCTATTCAAAAAGGTATTTCCCATATAAAAAGGTTTAATTTATCAAAAGTCAAATATCTTTATCAAACCTAATAAATCTAGTAATTTCTAAAACTAAAATATTTGAAAGTAATCAAAACATATCACCACTATGTCAGGTTATTAAGAATTTCATCTTATACCTTGTCTGCAATAGCCACCTGTCTCTGAATGCAGCAATTTGATTGCACATTAAAGCCAATCATAGCCCAAGACAGAAAGACTAAACATTTTGGCTTTTTATTTGCAGACAGTCTGTCAAGGACTCTGATTGGCTGTATGCGCTGGTGTACAATCCAATCAATTGCTGCAGTCTGTGATACAAGAAGTTTGTAATAGCCTGACATTGTGGAAGTAATCAAAACCCAAACCAGAGAATCAGTGAGTATCAACTACACGAGTGATTTGACAAATTTACACAGTATGTGGAGAATATCCAAAATAGCTCTTCAGTCTGGAAGTAATCACTATCTTTGTCTAAGGTTCTCGTATTATAGAAATAATAACTATTTACAAAATGAGAAATAAACATCAGAAACAGGCACCTTTTCTATTTAATATTATTCTTTAGTTGTTAATTAAAACCTATGACACTTTATCACCTAGAAGAAAGACAATCCCATTAGCTAAAAACAAATCTGAAATTCTTGTTTACAGCTATCTTAAAGGGGTTTTCTATATTTTGTATGTCTATTGAGGATATGGGTAGCATCAATTTGCACCATTCCAACTCTTAGTCAGAGGTCTGTGGTTCTTGCAATTCCACTATTCCGCTATTGCAAAACCTGCTTATAATATCTTAGGGCCTTTTCAATAGTGACATCATTAAAAGCTTAGTTTTAGTGGAATTTGTAAGAACCACAGATACACATAAAAAAAGTTTCAAAAACCTCTTTACAATCCACTAAACCAGTACACATGTCATAGGTCTCAAAATATACATGAAGATGTCAAATTGCACTTGTAGCCCTTGAAGACTGAAGAAGAACAGCTAATAGAAACAGGTGCCTGTTTTTTTATTCCTTTAAAATATAATTTGAACAACAATAAATACAATATTGCTGGGTAAATAAAATCTAACATTTACTTTCCGATCTCATCATTACACATTGCGTAACATTCTCTATCAATATAATAAGTCCTAAAAATCCTTCTACCATTTCTTTCCTCTTTCTCTCATTGTTCCCTTTTTTAATATCTGTAAATAGAAAGATAAGCAATTAATAACTGAGTCCATAATTTCATAACTTCTGACCCCCAACTAACACTGGACACACGTACAACAATACACTTCTTGTCTTTTTAAAACAAACTTGCATGTCTTCACATAAATGTTTCACTTGTGGATAAAGCAATCATAATTACTATACAAAATGAAAATATAAAACTCATCTTTAATCAAATCAGAACATTTGTAGAATGATAAATAAATCAATCTAAGTTCTATTAGGTGACAATATGAACAATTACATATCATTTAAATTTTGCTAGCAATTTCTTTCAAAATTTTGATGAAAAATAGTCAAATGGATACTGGTTGATAGAATGTTGGGGATACAACAGCAGAGAAATGGCTAGGGATTGAGAAACAAGACAGTTCAGCATGCCAGGATTGTACATGATTATATATATAATGGCATATATAAGAGGGATCTCCAGCCAAGAAATGATAAGGTCGGTTTTAAGGGATTAAGACAGAAACAAATGAACATGCTGGGAATGGAGGGAATTTTGATGTAACAGGTATTAGGACATATGCATGAGGGATCTTGATATTAGGGGTAGAAGAGTGATATCAGTTGTTCATAGAACACACAGAACACAGCTAGATTTCAGTTCATCATTGCTAAAATGTTAATAAATCACCAAGTTAGAAGAATTTTTTCCAGATTTTTATTTGAGGACTTGAAGACATTAGAATCACATAAAGATACATAAATTCTTAATACATAATCATCATAATATACACAGTGTATAGCCTTTATCTTACTTAATAATATCCAACATCTCTTAATACTTGCACGGAAGACAGGTCAAATAACCGTTTTGGAATCGATGCACAAATATTAGTTATATTGAGGTAGTTGGCTCACAACTCGGTTATCAAAAACAGCATTTATTTATCAATTTCGCTACTGAGCTAAGTCTGTTTCTGTCAGTTCAAAATGTTAAAAGGCACATTGGTTACCCACTCTTCTAAATATTCCACAATCATGACTACAGATAGCACAATTTCTAAGGTAATGTAGGTCTCTAAGGTGTTTTATTTTGAAAAAAAAAATGTGAGCACACAAATTTAATATTAAAAGTTAGAATAAATAATATCATCAGTTTAAAAATGCACACAAATGCTTCATTTTAAGGAATAAATGTATAATCCTGTGAACCACAACTTGACATTTCCTAGATCCAATCAGACATCAGCAAATCAAGCCAAATGGACATCTTGTTTCTTTGATAAAAACTGTTCCCTGAGGAACAGTTTTTATCAAAGTAACAAGATGTCCATTTCAAGATGTTCAAGAAAAAAAGTTATGTTTGAGTTTGTAAAAATGTTTTTCTACACTTTTAATGTGCATCAGGGACACTGATAGCATCGATTTGCACCATTCCAATTTTAGTTAGTTCTTGCAAAGCCCTAAAGTTGAGTGTTTTATGAAAACACTATTGCAAAGCCAGGTTATTGTATCTAAAGACCTGTGCGACATTGAAGTCGTAAATTAGGTTGCCAGGAAAGATAACACACACCCACTAACAGCTTGTTTTAATTTGGTGGAATGGCCACCATCACCAGTATATAATATTCAACCCTTACATTTTGTTCTCAGGTGATAGCTCATTACATTTTCTATTTCTTTTAATTTGTGATAGGTCTCACCCTAGAGAGATGAACAATTTTACCAAGTTTCAACAAAATATATTAAGAACTTTGCCTTCAAGAGCCCTGGTTCCCAACCTGGGGTGTTTTCACTCTCTGGACTTTGGGACTAGGGTGTCAGGGGTGTTGCAAACTGGTGTAGGAGAAGAATTTAACTTGAATTGAGAGAGCACCTCACATCATCACATGCTGAATATGTGGATGAAACAAATTTTTGGGGAAAGGTCCAAGTGATTGCTCCAGGGGTGTGAAGGCTGAGAAAGTGTTTTTGTTTTGAGCCATGGTACAAATTATGAAAGTCATACCTATTTGTATTAGGAATGAGAGCATGCCAATGTTATAAACTCTCAAGATTAATTTGGAAATTCATAATGGAACTCCTGGTTTAAAAATTTTCACTGTCTCAGACAAGTTTGTTCGATACCTAAGGCACAGAAACTACATGCAGTTTGTATTGTGAGTAAAGTTACTCATAATTGGAGTTATCTTCCCTTACTTTGAAATTTCTTTATAGGCCTCTAGACAGTAGAAATTTCAATTATTTTGATTAAAAACACCACATTTCATATGTTTTTAATTCTAAAATATATACAGTAACAACTATTTATCTAAGTTGAAGTAACTAATTAGATGATGTTTCTCTTCATATTGTAATGTTGTGTATCATCAATTTCATCTCATCTTCATTGTTCTTTCTTCTGGTGTCATATCTACAAATATATAACAAAACATGCGTTAAATTATTTATTATTTACCTAATATACCATCAATATCCACTATGATTGAGGTGTCTTTAACAAGGCAGCTGTGTCCCTTATCAATTTGGATTTTTTTTTTTTTATGTTAAACATTTTATTCCATAAAGTATTGAATCAATCAAACCAAATAAAATGGCAATTGATTAGAACATTCAAGAATACAATTTTGTTGTATGTTTCATGAATAAAAGAATTTTTTTTAAACAATTTTTTTTTTTTCCAAAAAGTCTCAGAATTAAGACAAATAGATGCAGATATATTTAGAAATATGGTTGATTCCAGTAATTGATTTTGTCACTTGAAACGAAAGCAAATTTTATAAATTTTGATTTTACAAGATTGATTGAAAGTAATTCTAAATTTGAAATGGAAAGAAAATTTGGTGGTGGAAATGAATTTTACCCAAAATCAAAGTGGAATTTGAATAAATCAAAAATTTTGAACAATCTAGATTGGTTGCCTATTTTAAAATATCACAAACATGACAAGAAAAAGTTTTTGATATTTCTATGGTTTATAAAATGTAGGAATCTATGTGTAAGTGTGTAAGAGTTAGGTGTACAGTTAAGATTAGTAATGTTCGTGATGCAGAGGAACAGAAAATCATTCCAAAATAGATTCCTAGATTTTACAGACCACAGAAGTTTAATGTTGAAATATACTCAGATCAAAATTCAAAATATAACCATTCTAGATTGTAGTAAGAACACAATTCTTAACACTAAATATCATTTACACATTGGAAACAATGTCAAATATCCAAAAATGGTTCAATTTGTCCACAGAATCAATAATTGCAGTCAACTGAAACCATCATAGTGAAATTTAGAATTAATTGTTGATAAGAGTTCAAAAACATTCTGATTTCAATATTGATAACCAGGCAAACAGTTAGCTATAGATAATCAATCAACCATATTTCTAAACAAACATCTATATAATATCATAATAGCATATATCTTTTTACATAAATATCAACAAATATCTTAAACTATGGTTCAATTTGTCCATAGATTCAATAATAATGGTCAATTGAAACCATCATAGTAAAATTTAAAGGTAATCATGTAATTAGTACAGTTGAAAAAATTCTGATCTTAATATCATCAAAAATTACTCAAATCATTTGGAAGTGAAAAGCTCATCTTACTCTATTGACAAGTGTCTCTTGATATTTGATCCACTATCAGAAATGGAAGTCAGAGAACTCACTGAATAGTTGTGGGAAGTAGAAAAAGTTTTGATGGTATTCACATTTAATAGTTAAATTTAAATAAGACATGCTTAATTCAATTTCACAAGCAAATACAGTAGTATTAAAACAGAACCTGAAAAATGTTACTTAGAGTTCAAGCTATGTGATCTTCAGACAACTGACTTATTTCAGTCCCTACTGAATTTTTACAAGTAGTATTTGTTTTTGTATCTGCACTTCAAGACAAGTTACTAGTATTATTAGTATTAATATAATTTTTTGACTATGAGAGTTTCCTATACCTAATTCATATTACCATCTTTCCTAATATCTTCCTCAAATAGCTTTTTTGAAATTTTACTATGAAAAGCAACTCAATTACAAAATTAAAACATGACATTGTGGCCTATTTGTACAAGATAATAATATATATAGATACTGAACATGGTACACCTCCTTTATCCAGTGAACACATGAAAACTGAGAATAATTTAGAAAAACATCTGGCACTAGTCTTTTAATTTGATCCCCCTGAAGCAAGGTAAAAAATATAGAATGTCATTTGATGTTTTAAGATCTAATCTGCAACCGTAGGACATCATGACCACACCTACTCAGAGCCGCCCTGCAGTAATAGTAGTCCCCTCACCTACCACATGCTTGCCTTCAGCTGCCATGCTGGTCGCCGTTCCCTATCCAGTTTAGTAAAAAATGGCATCATCAATCTTGTAGCCATTCCTACAGAGGGAGAATTCCTAATATATAAGACTGAAATCTATCCAGTTAAAGCCAATAATAAGTTTTAGACAACTCCCCTTATCCTAAAGAAGTTGTATATAAAAACAAAGCCCCTGTTGAACTTATACACTCATACTTGAAGTTGACTTCATGTTAAATGACTAAAATAATGTCCACATAAAATCAACCTTTATAAATCTGATGAGCTTAAAACATTCATTCTTACGTCTTATATGATACACAGTTCATCAGATTATAGCCACAGTGGGGATAAGACTTGAATTGGGAAGAGAAAATTTGGCCAGACTTCCCTTATAGCCTAAAGAAGTCATCTTTTCTCTTCAAACAATAGGTTTTTAAAATTGACTTGTATAAAAACACATTCACACATTTACAGGAAAAGTTCAACAGGCAGCATAAATAAACCCAATAGATTCTCAGATTCAAGTGTTCCGTACTCTAGGAAGTTTGTCGAGGAGCCCTGTTACTCTTCAGAGAGATTATGCTTTTTATCCTTTTAGTGGATAGGATCTTATATTGTAACCATGGGAAGATCCTGTTAAGAATGGGAAGAAGATTTGTAATTAACAGAATGTAACAACTAATATAATTATTCTCTTACTGTTTATTTTGAAAGCCTACGGTGCCTTATGCTTCTCTGGTGTCTTGTCTTGTTCTCTTAACAGTACCATGGGTTTAAATCTTAATCAAGATTTCTTCGCTGTGTCTACATTCAACATGGTTGAATTGTCATATATTATAACTTTATCATTCCTTCAGCTTTATTCCTATCATATATTGTAACATTATCATTCTTTCAGCTTTATTTTTATTATATATTATAACATTATCACTCCTTCAGCTTTATTCCTATCATATATTATAACATTATCATTCCTTCAGCTTTATTCTTATTATATATTATAACATTATCATTACTTCAGCTTTATTCCCATCATATATTATAACATTATCATTCCTTCAGCTTTATTCCTATCATGTATCATAACATTATCATTCCTTCAGCTTTATTTTTATTATATATTATAACATTATCATTCCTTCAGTTTTATTACTGTCATATATTGTAACATTATCATTCTTTCAGCTTTATTTTTATTATATATTATAACATTATCACTCCTTCAGCTTTATTCCTATCATATATTATAACATTATCATTCCTTCAGCTTTATTCTTATTATATATTATAACATTATCATTACTTCAGCTTTATTCCCATCATATATTATAACATTATCATTCCTTCAGCTTTATTCCTATCATATATTATAACATTATCATTCCTTCAGCTTTATTCCTATCATATATCATAACATTATCATTCCTTCAGCTTTATTTTTATTATATATTATAACATTATCATTCCTTCAGTTTTATTACTATCGTATATTATAACATTATCATTACTTCAGCTTTATTCCCATCATATATTATAACACTATCATTCCTTCAGCTTTATTTTTATTATATATTATAATATTATCATTACTTCAGCTTTATTACTATCATATATTATAACATTATCATTCCTTCAGCTTTATTTTTATTATATATTATAATATTATCATTCCTTCAGCTTTATTCCTATCATATATCATAACATTATCATTCCTTCAGCTTTATTTTTATTATATATTATAATATTATCATTCCTTCAGCTTTATTCCTATCATATATTATAACATTATCATTCCTTCAGCTTTATTCTTATTATATATTATAACATTATCATTCCTTCAGCTTTATTCCTATCATATATTATAACATTATCATTCCTTCAGCTTTATTCTTATTATATATTATAACATTATCATTACTTCAGCTTTATTCCCATCATATATTATAACATTATCATTCCTTCAGCTTTATTCTTATTAATTATTATAACATTATCATTCCTTCAGCTTTATTCCTATCATATATTATAACATTATCATTCCTTCAGCTTTATTCCTATCATGTATTATAACATTATCATTCCTTCAGTTTTATTACTATCATATATCATAACATTATCATTCCTTCAGCTTTATTCCTATCATATATCATAACATTATCATTCCTTCAGCTTTATTTTTATTATATATTATAATATTATCATTCCTTCAGCTTTATTCCTATCATATATTATAACATTATCATTCCTTCAGTTTTATTACTATCATATATCATAACATTATCATTCCTTCAGCTTTATTACTATCATATATTATAACATTATCATTCCTTCAGCTTTATTACTATCATATATTATAACATTATCATTCCTTCAGCTTTATTTTTATTATATATTATATTATCATTCCTTCAGCTTTATTCCTATCATATATTATAACATTATCATTCCTTCAGCTTTATTCCTATAATATATTGTAACATTATCATTCTTTCAGCTTTATTCCTATCATATATTATAACATTATCATTCTTTCAGTTTTATTACTATCATATATTATAACATTATCATTCTTTCAGTTTTATTACTATCATATATTATAACATTATCATTCTTTCAGCTTTATTTTTATTATATATTATAACATTATCATTCCTTCGGCTTTTTTTTTTATTAATTATTATAACATTATTATCCCTTCAGCTTTATTCCTATCATATATCATAACATTATCATTCCTTCAACTTTATTTTTATTAATTATTATAACATTATTATTCCTTCAGCTTTATTCCTATCATATATTATAACATTATCATTCCTTCAGCTTTATTACTATCATATATCATAACATTATCATTCCTTCAGTTTTATTACTATCATATATTATAACATTATCATTACTTCAGCTTTATTCCTATCATATATTATAACATTATCATTCCTTCATCTTAATTCCTATCATTATATCATAACATTATCATTCCTTCAGCTTTATTCCTATCATATATTATAACATTATCATTCCTTCAGCTTTATTCCTATCATATATCATAACATTATCATTCCTTCAGCTTTATTCCTATCATATATTATAACATTATCATTCCTTCAGTTTTATTCTTATTATATATTATAACATTATCATTCCTTCAGCTTTATTCTTATTATATATTATAACATTATCATTCCTTCAATTTTATTACTATCATACATTATAACATTATCATTCCTTCAGCTTTATGACTATCAAAATTTAAATTTTGACCTACCTCAGATGAAAACCAAACGATTCTTGCAAGTAGAGGAATTATGTTTCATGCTTCATAACTGGAATTTAAAAAAATGCAAAAATTAAGCAAAAAGACAAGGTACTCTAGTTAATTAAAGTCTATGCATTCTCAACAACAGTGTTGTTCAAATAATATTACCTAAAAACTTAGCTTAATGGATTTATTGGATTATATGTAGACACCAGGTAAGTCCACTGATGAAAATATAGTACTATATATTATGTACTCTTACTGGCCAGGTAGTATTCCTTTAACATATCACAGACTTTCATAAATAAAGGTATTTTAATACAATACAATTAAACCTAGTACCTTAAATCATGCTTGAGGGTGACTGCAGTTACAACAGTAGAACTTTGCCTTTTAAAAGAGTCTCATAACGGAATTCAAATACATATTAATATCAAATATTCTTTACCTTATATATGGTATTGGCATTTCATATTGCCACTATTCTTTCACAGCTTGTAATTGTAATCAAAGATTTTAGCTAAGATATCACTCTTATTAACACCTGTAAAACTGAAAGAAATACAAACAATGTTTATTATAAAATAGAATGATAAAACACCAATCTTCAGCCATCAAATGGAGATTTGGAAATTCAGAATTGAAACTATCCAAAATGGGACATTTGTTATTTAACATACATTGAATAGAGAAAGCCAATAGGGACAAGAAGAAGATGCTCTATTCATACAGAATTAAAAATGAACAAAAGCTTACCTACAAAATCTTGATTCAACAATTTTTTAAATCTGCTTCCAAGAAAACTTTCTGTTATGTTGCTAACAACAAGAAGAAGTGAACCCTGGGATGTCTGCAGTCACAATGTACATACAGTACAGGTGTAGAGACGTCTCTACCCTATACTGATTTTAGCTCACCCCCCAAACAATACAGGTGTATAGTAGTTTCTAGCCTATACTGATTTCTGCTCTCCCCCAAGCTGTGAATGTTCCCTTTGTTTAAGAAATTTTTTTTTAGAAATCTTTTAAACCCCTGAGCAAAATTTATCATGTGCCTTCTAACCCCTAAACAATATTCATCCTTAATCAAGAATTTAAAAACAACATGATGGTGAGGATTAATCAACTCTATAGATGCCTGCTCTTCATTATGGTTGGTATAACCCTTTCCCAAACCAAATCAGTCCTGAGTCCACCTTAAATCAAATGTGCTCACTGAGTAAAATTTATCTTTAAATTTCAAACTCTTGATTACAATACTTCATACCTAAACTGTTCTCTTAGTCTCCCAAATTTGAAAATTTTATTTTAAAATGAAATCCAACATAGATATTTCACCAAAATTTATCCAGAGTTCAACACTGTTGGCTTAGATTCATTACATTAATATTGATTTGAGCAAAAAATATTGATACAAAATCATTCCAATTACTAAAAAGTATATGACAGTAACTAATATTTTTGGTAGTTCAGAGACTATAAGATTCTTGTTACTGAAATATATGTAACAACTGCATACTGTCAAAACAGTTTTTACAGCACCAATAAGACACTTGTATTTATAGCATTCATATCTGCCCAAATATCTTACCTGGTAATTCAGTATGTGTTTTAATGATAAAAGATAGCTTGCAAGACAAGTTAACATATGCCAACTAGCAGTTGGAAATGATAACAGCGTTAATCTGGAATGGAAGGACAGACTGGGGAAAAGCAATTTTTTGTCCACATTTCCATGTGGGCTTATAATGTAGTATTTGTGGAATTGCAAGAACCACAGACATCTGACTGAATATTTGAAATGGTGCAAATCAATGATATCAGAATGTTAAGATAACTTTTATATTGTTCCTTTCTGATAAATATGTGTTATTTTGTCAGAATTTTTATTGTTTTTGATCATATACAGTTAATCAAACCATGTTATGTTTGGTTAATAAAGCATAAATTCAGAGATAACAACTGATCATTAGTTCTACCCTTTGAACACGCTGTGTTTATCGATCAAATGTCAAATAGACTGAACTTCAAGTATGATATTTCTTATTTAACATAATTTTGAAATGGCTACTGCATGGGATACTAGGCAGAGCTGTAAATTAGGCATAGGCAGCTGCTTCTTCCCAAAATTATTTTGTTTCTACAGGAAGGTCAAATTTGAGGCCTGGCTTTGACAAATCCCTCCCCTCCCACTTTCAAATTTCTTATAATATAAGATAAATAAAGAATTGTCTCCCCTATTAAGTCTGCAGCATAACTTGGCCTCCATTACCTATTGATTCCTAGGAACTTCATGTTTGCAATATGTACTTCCCAGCTTCAGGGGACATAGACGGCCCCCAGAATTACTGCCTTCTCATGACTAATTTACAGTCTTGCTTGTGTATAGAACACATCTTGTAGCCCATAGAGCAGCCACTTGTGTTCAAAGGGTTAATAATAAATAATATTGCCTTTTTTTATCATCATTATTAGTTTTATTTACATTATTCACAGTTTATTATTCAATATAAATTATATAGGTTGTTATTTCTAGCAGCAAAAAACCCTAAAAATATAGAGCAAATAAATAGAAAACTGCTCAGCTATATAGACAAGATTTCAAATATAACTTAATCCAATAAAATCACCTTTTGTTATCGGATTAACTTAATCCAAACCCTCATTGCTTAGGAGGCAGAATTTACCCGAGGGAAAACTAGTGCATTCCTTCCAGAGATATAGATCCTTTAAAACAGATTGATATCTACACTGTTCTAGCATCAGTTTGCACTTATCATATAGATTAAGGAAAATTACACATGAAATATCATAGAAGATAAAAAAAATTAGTGAAAAAGGGGAGCATTCTGAAAAGACAATGTACTTTCAAGAAAAGGGAAGAAGGGGACTTATTTTTTCTACCTACTTTAAACCAATACCCAACTATAATAATATAAGTCATGCAATCTAACAAAGGTGACATTTTAGTTTGTACTTTTAACGTACAAGCTATAGTATTATATACTCTGGTGCATACAGGTAATATACTGTATATTTCTGTTTTTAGTATGCATTTTTAGCGAGGTGAACCAATTCAATAATTAAAATTTTGATTTTTGCCATCTTCTTTAGACTGGCATTAGAAATATCAAACATTTCTTAAAATCAAAGTCCAAATACCCCTTGAATTTAAGAAAAAGTGTTCAGTCATTATAAATATTTTAGAGATATACGCACTTTTCTTGATGAAATTTAACCAATATGTCAGAATATTTGAAATGTCCAGCCATTCCTAGAGGCTAATTTACTATCCTTGCATGCTATATTTATTCTAGCTTGATTTATCCATACAAGCTAGCATAGGATTCTATTATATCTATAGGTAGGTAGATGACAAGTTAACGTTCGCTTCCAGCGGATGCTGATATCTATACCGACATGCCACAATATATATCCCAGCATGCCATGCCATTATATATCCAAGCATGCCATGCCATTATATATATCCCAGCATGTCCAGATACATATCCCAGCATGCCATGCCCAGATACATATCCCAGCATGCCATGCCATTATATATACCCCAGCATGCCATGCTACAATATATATCCCAGCATGCCATTATATATATCCCAACATGCCACTCTATTATATGTAAATTAGTACAATAGCGAAGATGAGAAGCCAGACAATATTAATCAAGCAGAGTTGGGACAAAAACAGGAATTCAAAGTCTAAGTCTGGAATTTCTTCAGAGAGAAATATGAGGTCTTGTTTCTATGAAAATTGTGGAAATATTTCCCCAGCAAATATTGCGATATTTGATTCAATAAAATTAAAAATGTCTAACAGTATATTTCTAAAGGTCCCGAGGCCACTGAGAGATGTCTATATATTTTTAGATTTTGTAGGAAATATTGTTTCCCAGATCCCAAATATTTAACTTCTAAAGGAGTAATTTTGTGATGCGATACTGGTTAAAGTGAGCCCTAAACAGTAGGACCATGAACCACAGCAGTATCAGTGTTTTTTGCCCAAATCAGCATAGAACCAGCTATATATGGTAAAAATTTCTCTCAAAGAGATCCAGACTAATACTTTAAGGGTTTTAGAATTCCGTTTTTGTCTGTAGATATTTGATGCTAAAATTCAAAATAAATGATAGGAAATAATGAAAATAAAAAATACAACAATGAACTACATCTAGGCTAATAATTATGGTGCCAAATTTGGATTTTTGATAATTTTTTTATTTTAAATTAAATTCACACTCAATCTCACCTTCGCCATTATTATCAATTTCGTTTCAATGGATTTTTTAGTTTTCCCAATGCCGACTTTATCCTATATAAGAAATAAGAGCAAAAAATACAATTTCCAAGTTTTAATCAAGTGGTTTTCTAAGTCTACATTTTATACAGGAAGTGATGTCATCATAAAATGGCTATGTCCATGACATTATTTTTTTTCATATTAAAGATGGGTCCCCAAACGTGCGTTCAAGTATAAATATATATAGTTATTGGATGACTATTAATAATTAGACCGAGAAGATGCATTAAGGGTGAAGAAAAAATATCAAATTGTCTAGCGAAATAAGACCTGAACATCTGGTCTTTTAGTCACTTAAGAAACAATGATCCAGTCTTTCAAGTCTTTGAGAAGACAGCTAGGGTCTCATCTTTAAAGCAAGGATGTTAATTTGATTAAATTTGTTACTACTGTCACATTGCATCTAACAGTAATTTTTGTCTTAAGTTTTGACAATGGAAACTTGACAATTTTTGTTGTGCTTTCTTAATAAAATTTTGAATGTTGGAAACTATGTGCTTAAATCATCCATCTGTAACAATCCAAACAAACATCCCTGAAACGTGTACTGGAAAATAGCCATTTTACGATAGAAAATTTGGTAAAAAAAATTAAAAGTTATTTAAAGTTAATAACTAATAAGGTCAGAGCTATGCAATATTAAAATCATTAGATCACAATAATACAATAACTACTATACAAAGTATACTGGACAATTTGGAAATGTCAAGGATCATGTTATCCTTTGACCAATCATAATCTTGGATGAAATATTTGAATTTTTTTTGATATTTTCATATTTTTTTGTTAAGTACATGTCGATATGACTTATTGTGATTAACCAATAGCAACTTATTGATTTTTGTAATTTAAGTTAAATATTTTCTCCTGATTTCCAAATTCTCCGGAAAAAAAAAAAAAAGTTTGAGAAAAGTTATATGTGTATGCAGTCGCATGCTGAGAGATAATATATTATATGATGTCAAGATATACGATGCCTCAAAAGTTCCTGAAATTAGACGAATACAGACTGACGGGCTATGTCAAAATAGAGGCGGAAAACAACAGTAGAATCAGTTGATTTCAATAGGCACAAGTATAGTAGAGGTCCAAAGCATTTATATACAGAAGGTAATTTGGGGAAAAATGATAATATATGGCATATGAAAGCATATTAAGCTTAATGGTGCATTTTAAGGGGGAAAGGTTTGCATGGGAATAATGCCAACACCAACATAGTGCTATAAAGCATACAGGAGACAAAATGAAAGTAGAAAAAATGCTACTAAAAATAACAACTTTTAGAAGTGTCCTGATCAACTGTAAACAATGTCTGACAAAATTGTATTAAAAATATTTTGAACAATATACATGATTTATCTTGTATACTGTTGATCAGCTTTTTAATTAAAAATAGTTCTTTATTTAAATTAACAATGTCCTAATATTAGCTAGCGTTAATTTAGCTGTAGATGAGGGGGTCGATTCTGTGTCCCAGGAAAAACGCTCTGTTTATATTTGCTGTTTTTAGTAGCGATAGCAGGCGACCTTGACCTTTTAGGAAGACTGGTAGTTGATGTATCCATGGCTTCTGGTCCATCTCTATGGATACCATTAGAATTAGGAATCACAAATCCTTCCACCATATTACTTTGTGAAGGACTGAAATGTAAACAGATCAACTTTTTTACTTTGCCTTAAACAATATCCAAAATTTTTTCTGACATCTTTTTAACCCTGTGTGACTGGTAATTAGATAATTCACATAATAGCATCATATGCTTAAGTTATATTACTTGGAGATCAGGGTATGTATGATCAACACATTATTTTCTTGGTTATATCAAACAAGTATTGGTCATAGTTTAATCTCATTAAGGATTGAATTCTGGAACCTCAGGTCAAGGAAGTACTTCAAAATTCACCTAAGTTTCAAACCAGATACACATATTTAGATACCAGTATCAATTACAAGGTATATTCAACTTACCTTAAAGGTGCTCGTAAACTTGAACCTGTAAATTTACGTGGGGAACGAGGTTCTTTTTCTGAGATCCATGGTTTATTCATTTCCATTAAAACTGAAGGTGCAACATAAGTAAAACCCTGAAATATTTGAATAATAGAGTTTTACAACCTGTTTTTTTTTTTTATCTCACTGTTACTTTCGAACATGCCATTAGCCTAAGGCTCAAAATTTCAGCTCCACTAAAATTAAAGCCTTTAGTATAGAGGAAGCGCATGCTCTCTTCTCTAGAACACCTGATGCCACTCTAACTCAGAATTCCTCTACCACTCAAAGTGTTAAAATAGCTAATAATGTCTTTTCAGCCTTTTGCCAAGGTCATTTAAAGTGAGGAATATTTTAAGCCCCTTTATATGGTTGATTTTATAAACTCAGCATCATACAGCCCTGTTTATAACATTGATATTTTTAATAATACTTACAACAAAGACTTGATTTGCACTCTCACTAAGAATATTATCATCAGGTGAATCAACTGGTGTCTGTCGTGTAAACTTCGTATCAAATTGACTCACATCTTCTTCACTTGTCTACAAAATACAGAGAAAATAGTCTTAAAGAAAAGAGATTATTTAAAAGCAAATGATATTTTATATTTAAATAAAAGAAATCACATTCAAGACACCAAAATGCACTCAAATACCACCAAAAAATAAGCAATACACTTCTCTCAAATAAACGAGCAAATGTAGTATTTAAAAATTATCTTGATTTGATTGATTTGAAATTTGTCTAAAAGATCTGAGTAAACTAGTTAAACATATTGTTTTATTCTGACTAAATTAACAAACGTACCACATTAGGTTTAAAAGGAGGATCAACTCGTCTAGAAGCTAATTCATTCCAATCTGTATTACGGAAAAATGAGTGACTCTAAAAAAATATAACATCGAACGTAATAAATTGAATACAACTCAGATAAAAATATATCATTTCATAAGACAATTCCATGTTGTTCAAGGGGAAGTTGAAAAGATACTTTTTTACATGTAGATATGTTAATAGTATTCATAGGTAGCTCAATTCTATAGAGTGTGGTATAATTGAATACATTACATTATGTTATTAGTGAATTCTTACCTTAATTGGTTTAGCATCTTCTGCTCCTCCTCCTAATCTTTCACTTGGATATTTACGTAGTAGCTGTAATAAAGAATAAACATTGAAAATTTCTATTAGCAAATGATCTTAGATTTTTCGTTCAAAAAGGGGCATCAGTATATTATAAAAATTTTCACAGAAATTGTAAAACACATCACCAACTTTCCGTTTTATCACATATTATGAGGAATTTGTATCACAGCATCTAATGAACAAAATGAGTACAACTCACTATCAACTGAGCTATCTTACAGCAGACATTTCCAATTCACAAAGGAAGTAAAATTAAGAAACAAAATAAAGTGTATACTTACTCGTTTTATCAGTGCTCTAGCCTCATGTGTTAAATACGGAGGTAAATTTAATTTGGCCTTTAATATCTGAAGAAAAATAAATGTTTATGGTGAAGGTATACTTTGGATGAAAATAGTAAATTACAGTATATGTGCTGACAAAACAAAATGCTTATTATCATCAATTACCACAAGTAAATTACTTGTATATATATTATCCTTGAATAACATTTAGAAGTAGATAGAACATTATAAATAAAACACTATTATGGATATACTACTCCTCTTTAATTTAAGCAACGTTTCAATTCGCATACAAGAATCTTTTTCAAGCAATAAAATACACAAAGTACATATATCATCTCAATTCTTCAGCATTTTGCCCCATCTTATCTTTTTTGATTAAAGCTCATCTCAAGCTGTCTAAAGGCGTTTCTGATAAACAATCCTCATCAGAACAGTTATTTTTATACACTTTATTATTAAACCTAATTCTCACCTTATCTATAGTTTTCTTTCTGTTTTCAGCTGTAAATGGAGGCTAGAAAATAAAAATCATACTTATAACTTAAAAATTGTCCAGAAATGAGGCATTGTTAATATTAATTAGATACTTGAGTCCTGTTTCGATCATGTTAAAATTTGGTAAACATCTGTAATGTCACTGTTTATGATAATTGTTTAGTACAGAAATGACCTTTTAAGGAAAGCCACCCCATGTCATAGGTTAAAATCTAGAAGAACAAAATATCCTGTATTGATACAAAGGGGTTGTTGTTTGCCTTACAGACAGGGAGAAAACTCAGAATACAAGCAACTAGCTTCACCACCTCTACAAACTAATACTGTAGTGAACAATATAAGAGTAACTTACAGCGCCTGTTAACATATCATACATTAATGCCCCTAGACTCCACCAATCTACAGCTTTACCATGGCCACTACGAGTTAATATCTCTGGAGCCCTATAACAGATATCAATTACAACCATACACTGTACAGGTTGTTTAACGGTATAAACATCAATACTAATACATAATTACAGTCAGACATACCAGAAATCCTATCAGGCGTGGTTGGCATTATTTTGCTAATGCATGCAGAAATTTATATTCATTTGTGAAACATCTGTACATGGTTAAATGATGCTAAAATTATCATGAAATAGTACAACATTAAGGCTTACATCAGAGCTTTTTTGTTTATCTTGACTGAAATCCAGTAGAGCCTCACAAGACTAGCAAATACATCTTTAATATACAATGTAGATACTTACATATATTCTATGGTACCACAGAAAGTGTGTGTCACTATGCCCTCATTGATAGATTCTTTACATAATCCAAAATCTGTTAACTTCACATGACCTGAAAAAAACAACAATTATTAAGCCATAAATAGGATTTTATAACTGAATGTTCTGAACCATATTTGGCAATAAAAGATTTTGAAGTTATAATTTCAAGAAGGAATATTATAAGTCTTTGGTTTGTCATTCAGGAGAGCCAGCTGTACAGGCTGTTTCCAGACCACAAGTAACACAAAATTAAGATGTAGTCTTAATAAACTAGCATTTAAGGGTAAAAATAAACCTCAATGCTTACTGAAGGAATCTTCACTTTGTTAAGCGTATACAAACTTTGTCTTGGTAATAGATGCAGTTAGTTATAGCTTGACATTGAGAGATGATTGAAGGTGGTTGTTTAATAAGCTGTCGTGCATACATTATGTTATTTTGAAGTAATTCTGGCACTCAAGGTACTTCAGACTGTACAATCAATAGATAAAGTATAATATTCTTACCCTGAGCATCTAGTAAAATATTTTCAGGTTTCAAGTCTCTATATATAATACCTTGTCCATGTAAATGTTCTATAGCTAATGTAATTTCAGATAAATAAAAACTGAAATAGAAAATAATAACTATATCAAGTAGGTCTAGCATTAATACCTGAGGGAGAATACAATAACAGCATGGAAATTAAAACTGTTATTATACTGTTTAAATGAGAAATAAGATAAATGAGAAACAATATTTCAATATAAACTAGTCTAGTATACCAATTTTATTGTTTTATCTTATGTCTTTTTTTGTTTTAAATTGTACACAGAGCAGCATCTTCAGACAAGGACAGATTAAGATGCCAATTTCTGTTCCAAACAATCATATTTTGAAAATTACATTTATTGAATTGTATATGGACCGAGTTACATAGAACTATAACTGATATATTGTAAAGTGAATTTAATCTAGATATATAAAATCTTACCTGGCGGTGTCCTCCATAAATATACCTTCTCTCTCGAGTTGCATAAATAACTCTCCACCAGGGAGGTACTCTAATATCAAATATAATTTACCACCAGTTTGAAATGCATACATCAGATCAACAATAAATGGATGCTGAAAAGAATAAAACAAACTTTGAAATCAGGGCTGTTGATTGATTTTTGTTGCGGGTCGACATTTGTAAAAGTATTAGAACAAGATCAAATGTCAAAAGGCTAGATCTAATATAACTAATGAAAAGGTAATATCAATTTTTTGCTGTGAGCATTTTATGAGATATCAGTGTAATACTGTGTGTTCTATTGCTTCAGGCTATCAATAACATTTCCATGAAAATAGACTGACAAAAAAAAGTGCTGACAATAGACTTTTGTGTTTCACTAGCAGGCTGGTAGTTAGACTTAGTCAAAGTGATCTGAGCTAAACATTTTTTCCTAAATTGAGACACAAATTGTTCATAAGACTTTTCTTTATATAAAAGTTTTAAAATTCCAAAACTTTTCACCAAATTTGTTCAATGACAGAACAGGTCAAAAGATCTAATGACATTGGACATATGTCAATGTGCTATTTCTCCTTTTAACAAGCTTACAGTTGACTTTAATCCTTGACTAATGAATTATTTTGCTTAAATTTTTGCCCATGATGAAATGATTATAATTACTTACCTTCACAGCCTCTAATATATTTCTCTCAGCTCTAGTATGAGCAGTGTCTTTGGCATTTCTAGCTATAGTAGCCTACAATAATACAACATATGTTGTTAAAAATATATGTACAACATACATCAAGAATCCAAATCTAGATAAATATCAATCTAACCCAATAGCAAGCTGCATTAGCATTACATTAATTCAAAACTTAAGCTTATAGTACACTGTATATATATCAATTTTCACATTTTTTTAATTGAAGTCATAATTAAGAATATTAGATCCTTAGGGACTGATGAGACCTTCTTACCTTCTTCAAAACTTTCATGGCAAAAATTTTGTTGGCATCTTGACCAGAGATTTTTCTTACTTGAAAAACCTGAAAATTTAAGAAAAAAATAAGTAAAACTCAATCAAAACCATCATGGCCAGTGTCTAAAAAGTTCCCATTCTAATTTCAGTATTCAACAAATCTATATCAACATCTCCAAAACATACCCTAACACTGATTTCAAATTTAATTTGAGCTTAAAAAAGAAGTAAGAGAAGGGTAATGGGATCTTAATCAACCAAGCATCATTGATTGTTCACCTTTCTTATTGCCAAAAGACAAACTTTATTGACCAATAAAGTAGTGTTCCATGCTTACTCTTTTTGAACACTTGATGGTACTTCTCTTTGGTACTTTTACTCTCTATTTTACAATACTTTGGATGAGATTTTGATTAATAGAATTGCCTTGCACTCTTGCTTGTATGGATATTCATTCTTCTTAATTGTTGTTCCCTGTGATTCCTTTCCAAATTCCAATCACATGCAAAAAGCCTAAAAATAATAAGCTCATGATTGAACTTACCTTTCCATATCCTCCTTTACCTAACACTTTGAGAAGCTCAAAATCTTGTGGTCCAGCCTTCAGTTCTCCTGGATTTACTGTCTGCTCTGTTAATTCAAGAGTTTCCATTTCAGGGTCACTGAAACATACAACATCAAAATAACAGATTACAACAAAACCCAGATTAAAGTTGAGATAATTTCCATCGATAAGTGTTTAGGTCATTTGATTGGCTAATTCATTTCAAATTAAGTTTCATTGACCAATCAGATATTGTAATTCTTAAAAACCTATCTTATTTAAGTAAATTTTTGAGCTTTATGAAAATAAGAGAATACCCCTTTCTGGCTTGTGTTATTTAGTGCACAGGAAAGGGTAGAGATTCATCTACAATTTTATTTGAAGCAATAGCAATAAGTCTAATAAGAAAATTGTTTTCTTAAACTTTCATCAAAAAGAATCTCAAATTCAACTACATGTATTTAGCTTCAAACTGAACTTTTTACGGGTTGAACATCTTAATTTAAATACACATATCTAGGGTTTATAAAATGTTGCAATAGGAAAATATACACAATAAACGCAATAGACTATATCAGATGTTTTTTAAAAGTCAAAGTGAATATACTGTTGACATGAGAGATAGAATACTTTTTATATTCAGGAATTTTATCAACTGGTTCATTATTATCATATATCAATCTTATTTGTATTATAATATATATATATATCAGCTAGTCATGTTTATATTTTGAAGCCATTGTATTTTACTGATAGTGATGTGACTTATGTGAGCATAAAAGCATTGGTCATGGATGACACATAGACAATTCAAAAGTAGCAATAGAAACAGTATTGAAATTTGAAACATTTGACACTCGCTTATATTCTGTTCCAGCAATTGACTCAATAACATGTGGTAATGGTATTTTAGCTGTCAATGGTTTTTTCTCACTATCTAACTTATCTGTGATAATATTCTAAAAGACAAACTGAACTAGAAAAGTGTAGTACTGTATTTTGGTTTGAGGATGAAGAATTAATATAACAATTCAACTTACTTTTCATAAGAAAACCCTGTACTGCTTCCCTGAAAATAGACAACAAAAACTTGAAAGAAACTTGAAAGATAGTCAGACATGCAAGGTAACATACAATCATCTTGAACTAGAAGTGAAGTTTATCATATCAACTTCTAACTTGAATAACCATCATTACTAAAAGTAAAGGGTATATTGGAATGTTAATGTAAAGAGTTGAAAATGAACTAAGTGGTCAATAAATATTGTAAATCAAAACTGTTTTTCAAATACAATGTATTATAACAAATCAAGTTCTCCAAGTAAGGATTACTGGCTCTATTGATATTAATGGGGAAAAAATACAAAATGAACAACACCCATATATTTGTTGGCCACGACCTGGAGAGAGTATTTAATCAAATCTTTTTTTTTTATGAAGCTATGAAGAATGTAGAACATTTTAGAAGATATTTAACTAATATCATTTGTATAATTATATGTGTGAAAGCAAAACTGGTGATATAACCTTATTTAGTCTGACGGCCAAACAAATATCCAGGGAAAGATCATTACCAAGACTTGTGTCAAGGATCAGCTGATAGATAGGATCCTGAAATTCTTACTGTTAACATTGAAAAGTACAGTTGATCTGTTTTACCATTCTTTATGATTAATAGAATGGTAAAATGCCAAGTACAAGCACTTTAACAACTCACCGTTTCATAATCTGAATCAAAATCAGAAGAATAGGTTGATTCTGTTTCTGTATCAGATAAATCTAACTTAAATATTTCATCTTCTAAACCTATACTATCTCTTCCATACATTTTAATATTTTATAAATACTCCTATATACTAGTGTTTATAATATTCCTTTAATACCTTCATTTCTTATTCCTTCTCTTAAACACTTCAATATATTCCCAGATCCTTTTTCACGACAATATCAGTTTATGTTTCAAAAGCACTTTAATTTACTTCTAATTCCTCTTATTAAAAACACTTTAAAAATAATCCTACCAAGTCCTTTTTATATAACAGTCAAAGTTATTTCAAAATTCCTAATCCCTAGGTCAATTTCTTAATACCTTTCTGAAAAAAATAAAAAGTTTAATTCTTTACAAGAGCACAAATAAATTTTGAATTCCTTTTCTCTGTCTAAGTTCTCGCAGATTTTATTTTCTGTTGCGGAGTTTTAATAATCATATTGTCAAATTAATTACAAATATTTTTTCCGACTGTGTCTGCCTCTCAACTCAATGAAATCAATTGAACAATGAAACATCAAATAAAGTAAGAGCAATCAAGATAATGAAAAGTAGGTCTTTTTATCTGACCTTGGGACTGGCTGTCAGTTTCACCATTCAAAATCTTTGTCACAAGACAATTTCATTCACGTAACTTCAAACTTCAATTTTTCGCCAAATACTTTTTCGTAACATTCACAGAAATATCAAAGCAATCGTAGAAATTTTGACTCTAATCACAATACCAATTTCGTCTCTATCAGTTATATTCTTTCAGATAAACTACTGTATAAGTACTCCTTTTCAGCCTATTTTTGCAGCTTCATGTCGTTAAATACTTTCCATAGACGTAATTCTATCCAGTCTTAGATGTTAATATTCCTGTAGACCATCAAACTCTGGATGAAACAGGCAAATTGTCTCCTTTTATTTATCAGTTCAGATCTATATTTAATAATTATGTGCATTTCTTTAATTAGAATTGGTAATTTCACTGTTATCCCAGAGAAATAGGAATTTCTGTTATATGAATAAATTTCCTGAAGTTTATCTATTTATCTAATAGATATGACATTGGCACTCTATTAAACTATCTATTATATTCCTAATACAGATGTGTGAGTTCACAAACTGTTTTTTTAATATGATATCTTCCTTCTATATACCTAGGACTTATACTTAAAAATACAGCTTACATAAGAATATGAATGTTCAATGAACAATAGAGTATAATTACTAGAAAATCACTTGATCATCTGGTATTCATAGTCCACTGGTATTTAACTGATAAATAATAAGCTAGGCTGGTAAAAAGGTGGTTTAAGGTCTATATGGTCAGTTGTTATCTTATCATACTGTCTTGGTTTAAAATATAATATATCAACTGATATTATATAATTTATTATAAGACTATATTCTAGTGCTTATATAGCTTAAATTTCATACAGATGGCTCAGTTCACAAAATATTGCACTCGTTTGTGTAATCTATGAATTTATGTACCAGTATGTATATTTTGTAAACAAATTTTGCACAAGCTTAATAATATTATGTTGTTCACTTCACACAATGCTGAATCATATCTGGTAATGAATTATGAATATTCAATTAACATCCCACAGCTGGTTTATTTCACAATATTTTGAATAAGTTTCAAAAGTCCAAGTTGCAGAATTTTAAATAATGTTTCCAAAGCTGCCTTATTTTGTCTTCAAGCCATAATAGTTCTGTTGTTTTTTATCGCTTGCTTGCAATTGTAACAACAAAACTCCATTCAGTCTTTCTGATGCTTAATGCTGCTAACATAATCCTGTACAATCTATTAATAATACATAGCTTATTTCACACTTGTACATTGCATCTTCTATTACTACTTGTTTATTATTTCAATCACATTGAACTTGGTACGTAAACACTAGCTAAAAATGAGATTAAAAATTCATATCTGAACACAATGATTGATTATTTTACTAACTACATTTCACATGAAAAATTTAACATTTAATATTTCTTAATCTGTATTCCTAATTCTGCGAAGATTAAGTTAAATCCCTTTTTAAACCTGTCAGCATTATATCATAACATAGAACATATAATATTATAATTCTATGATCATAAGGAGACTCAATTCAGTAGCAGTTAGTTGTCAGCCTTCTTTTCATTTCAATAACCATCTGTTTGCCCAAGAGTTACACCTCTCCTTCATATTTAAATATAGATATTGGGAGCAAGGACAAGTATCTTATCACATTTCTATTTGATATCCTAAAACTTCTCTGTTCAATCCTTTTCATTTGTTGACAATTCAGTCTATTTTTAACGCAAGGTAAATATTTTGCAAAGTGCACTATAATAGACACTGACACCAGCTGATGAGTATTATATCACAGAAGCCCGGTCTGAAAATACTTGTCCCATATAGAATTGAAATTAGGAGTTAGACATGTTATTTTCTAACTATCATCGTTATCCAAAAAGCTTTGTATGTCTAGTTGGATTTTATCCAAACAACCTCTTTCAAACCAATCAGTAACCTACCTGCATTCCTGTAACATTCACGAGTTTATGCATTTGTTTATATTTACAAAGGTTGGTTTATCTGCTAAAGGGAAACTCGGTATAAAAATAACGCAATAGTTTCAGATGCATTAAAGAGATGATGTTTTACTACATTCTATACTGAAAAACGAAAATGAGCAAAGATCCATTTATAGTTTATTTCGCTGAATGTTTAAAGAGGCCATTGTAGAGACTCTAACTGAAGTGGCTATATTAAAAATAAAAGCTAATTTAGGTATAATGTTTATAATTAGACTGAAAAAGTTAAAAAACAAAAGGTATTTTAAAGTTGTATTAAGTAATATTGTAATCAGAAACAAACATTGATATATTATCCAATTCAAACACTGGTTATCAGAATGATCCTATATCAACTGTAAGCTAACTAGTAACAAGTATATTAGTAATGTATACTAGAATAAATTACTATAGATAGTCAACTTTCTCTATTACTGATCTTTACATGACCATGTTCCAAATTGGTGGTAGTAGTAGTTGGGATTACAAGCGAAAACCATGAGATTTCATGTGATGCTTCAAGAACAAGTGAAAAGGTTGAGATTAAGGTAGTTGAAAAGCAACAAGTTACATGTACTATTCAACAGAAGGCACTGGCACAGAATTAGATAACAGTGTTTTATCATAGTGGATTCAGTTCTAAATCATCTGTTTAACGACACCTGGTATTGACTTTGAATATAAGGATTTTTTGTGATCACGTATTTGTTTAGTATGAAATAAGAGAAATGTGATATGAATATATTCCACATAGTTAATAATGTTTATTTCAAATCTTATTTGA